TATTGTATTAAAAAAAATATAATATCAATAACTCACTAAATATTAACTTAGCTTTAACAGTTGAAGTTTAATTGACTTTTATTATTTAAATTATTATTTAACCCTAATTAAATATATATAATCATATATTATTTGAAAATTAACAAATTTAATATTGTAATTAGCCCAATACATAATGACTAATCAACTGTATATTTATTTTTAAATTTTATTATCTACCTTAAAAATATTTTCAAGGTCCAAATAAGTATAAGAGATTTATTTATAATTAAGTAGACATATAGTTTATAATCCTTTACTATATGCAGTTGTTTATAAAATATTAGATATAATGCCACTTTTATAGACGTATTTGACAGTTATATAATATATTACAGTTAATATTATAATAAATTTTACTAGTAAATGGTTTTGTTAATAAATATAATAATAATTGAATTCAAGTATTTAACGCTATCTATTTAGATACAAATAATTTTAAAACAAAAACATTTTATTATTCATTTTGCAATAGATGTAATAAATTTTATAGCTTTTCTTCTCTTTTTTTAAATGTTTTTAGGAAAGCTATTTTTTTTCTTTTTCGAAAAACAGTCTTGAATTAACTTTTTAATACAAGTATATTTTTGATATTATTACAAACTACTATTATTTTAAGAAATAATATACCAAGATGGTGCGACAATATATAAAATCTTAATTGTTTCATCATATAATTCTGGTCCTTATTTTATAGTTAGAAAATGTTTCATTTCTAATATGGCATTGCCGTATAAATAACTCCAGGCTTTAATATCTTTGCACAATTATTTCTTCCAAAGATTTTTAGTGTTTTTATTTTATCAATTTATCCAACATAATAAATTATGATATTAGTTTACATCGTGAGTGTCATGGCTATTACTGCAAATTAACAAGAACTATTATTTGTGTTGCTATGTAATTTAAGATTATTACTATAACGGCTGAGAGCACATAATTGCTTATTTTAGATAAACAATAATGGACAACTGTGTAGTCGTTTATATATCATTTAAAATGGAAGATAATCTTTTAGAAATTTAATATATCACAATAATTTTCTCGATTACTTATCTAGCTTCCATCATGTCATCTAAGAGGAAGCTCTAACCACCATATAGTTTTATGATTTGGATTGGTCGTTTATAAGCTCTCTTTCAAAAATTGTTGATTGGGTTTAGGCCAATAAATTTTTCCTTATTAGTCCATTCTATAAAACATTGTCTAAAATGGTAACAGAGAGCTATACTAGTTTGATAACCTTTTGTCAATGTAAGTTTCTAAGAATTTTATTATTGCATTATGTGGTTTTTTATATGCCAGTTTATTTTTTATGCATAATATAATAAATTACAAAATATGAAAATCAGAATAATTGTTCAGAGTTAACAAATATTAAAAAAGTATAATATATTAATATAAAACCCGGGCGAAGGCCGGCAAAAGTGGGCAGAAGGCCCGCAAATAGGGGGTATGGGGGGGAATCCCCCCATAAATTTTTTTTACTGAGCCCCCTGAGATTGTGAAGGCTAGCGACGCACCTGAATGCTCTTGATAATAAATATATCAATAATTTGCATTCAATTATTTAACGCCATTATTTATATTTAATCTTCATATTATTTATCCCAAAATGTATTTAAAAGATATTTTCTGATGTCCTTATCAATATTTTATAGTTTTTTGTAAAATATATAATTCGCTATATTGGTAAAAATTACTTGATTATCATATGATAATTGATAAAATTAGATACACTGTAATTCTACGACATGTAATATTCCACTGTTTGAATTTTTTTAAATTAATTTATGATTAGGATTATAATTATAATACATTTCACTTTTGTCTTAAGACTTATCTTTGAATTATATTCGATTTCCTTAGAAACATAATTAGTTCACTTTTTTTATATATAAATGCTTTTTTCTAAAAATATGAAATTTTGTTTACAATCTTTCTTTCAAATTATTGTTTAAGATATATGCTTAGATTTTTAGGGGTCTAGTAGTGGGGGGAAGAAGGGGAATATTTTTTATTAGCTTAAAATGATATTCACAAAAAATGATAATTTCTGAAGGAAGGGAGATTTCCCCTTACCCCCCCCCCCCCCCAACTACGCCTATGTAAAAAAGAAATCGTTTGAGGCAATCAAAAAAATTTAAGTTTAAGGGGATATTAAGGAGCAATTAAAAAAATTAAAAAATTTGCTTCAGGTGGCTATTTAAATTTTTTAGGGGGCTCCAGCCCCTGCGCGCCTCCTCTAGTGACGCCACTGTTTGTTTATAAAAATAATTAAAATGACACATTTACTTTAAAAATTTGAAGTTAAAAGAAAAAGTTAAGAAAAACATTATTATTTTTTAAAAACTTCCTATAATTTAACTTTAATTAAAATTAATTCTTTTTAAATTTTACGAAATTTTAATTTCAATTTATTCAAACCAAATATTCAGCCATTAAAAAATCGGCTAGAGGAGAAATTATTATAAATTAAACCGCATGTTAATTTTTTTCGGCAAGCACCTGAAGATTGAATCAAGTTAGCCTTTACTTCGGTGACGAAGCGTCAAGTTTACTACTAGGGAAACAATCAAAAAATTTACTTTAGTCAAACTCAAACCACAACGGATTTATAAATAAGTGGTATTCGTCTTTGTTTTTGAGTAAAATGATCAAGTACTGCATTATAAAAGTTATAGCTAGATTTTAAATTTTTTAATAATTTTTTTCCAATCGAAATCAAAGATAAATTAGATAATCGATTTTGGCTCATCCTGTTTTTGTAATAAGATTTGATTCTTTTTAAAGATGAAAAACTCCGTTCCGCACTTGCTGTTGTTGAAGTTAAGATGAATTTGCATAATTTAAATAATTCTTTAAAACTTTTCATCAAATCGGTGCATATTAAAAATTTAAGTATTTTATTAACATTATTTTTCTTTCTAATTCAACATCCTCAAACACTACTTTTAATTCAGTTTCCAGTTTGTGTAAGTCGAAATATTGAGAATAAGTGTCGTTTAAAATATCTAATAAATATTTTGGGAAATTGATTATTTGGAATTTACTAATATCTAACAATTCGACGAATTTGATATTTTTTGATATAAGACATATGAAATAAAATTAATCAAATCATTTTGAATATTGCTTGATGGTCTAATAAAAACTGCACTATTTCTAAGTGATGTTTCAATAGTAAATTTTCTTCCGCGCGCAAATAAATTAATATAATATAATCTCCTCTATTTACTGAATTAGAAGATTCATCATCACCATGGAATACGAGCTCCTGAATTCCAAGAAAACATATAGAGTTGATCAATATTTCTCTAATTGATTTGACTTTAGAATTATGCTGTTCGATTGATATTTTGCGTATCGAATCTATCATATTTTCAATACGATTTTGGCCAAATGTTTTTAATTAAATCATCGAATGTTAATGAGCGGTTGATTCTTTGCCGTTTAACTGCCTTTGAAAAATTATTCATATCTGAAAATCCTTTATCATTCCAAACATATTTTTCATTTGGGAATAATAGGCATGACCAACAATATAGAGAATTAGAAAATTCACATCCAGTGAGCCATTCATATTTTTCAAATTTATCGACAGAAAAATTACGGATGCAAGTTTTGGTTTCTTTTTTTAAGTTTTGTAAAATTGGTTTTGGTCTTCCTTTTTCAATAATCAATTTTTTCGCATCAAAATTTCTTGAGCTAAATGATAATGTTAATAAATTTCCAATAATACAATTACAATTATTAAACATTAATAAAAACGAAAAATTTTTTATTTTAAAAAAGTAAGGAAAAAAATATTATATAAAAAAATTTCCTTCTCTTTTATTTATTAAAAAAATAAGCATTTTTTTATTTGCTTCCCCAATGCTTATTTTTTAATGGTAAAATTACACAATACCATAGCATGATTTTCTCTTTATTTATTAAAAAAATAAGCAATATTAAATTTGCTTCCCTCATGTATATTTATTTTAACGTAGTAAAAATAATAGTAAATTTTTTAACGTAGTAAAAATAATAGTAAATTTTTTAAAATAGTAAAAATAATAGTATTTCTTAATATAGTAAAAATAATATTAATTTTTAACGTTATAAAAATTATATTAATCTTTTTAACGTTATAAAAATTATATTAATTTATAAGTCAGTTTAGTTTATTTAGCGCATTACAAATATTATATTAAAAGTTTTATTAAATATTTTGTAAGAAAAATTTCAAGGGAAGCTATGCTTTCCTTGCTTCTATGGACGCTTCATCACTGCTTTACTTAGCCATTATCCAATTATAGCAATTACACAATCTATATAAAAAGTGTTAATTGATTTTATATATTTTGACTTCAGAATAGGTAGGATAAAAAGATGCTTTTTAATAACAATTATTCATGCTTTTTGGGAACTTGTAGTTCCAATTCCCTTTTTATAGAATGAGTTCTTTTAAATATATTTTTATTACATTATAGTATGATTGGAATATGGATATTATAAAATATATTGATATATTATAGTAGATTCAACTATAAATATATAATTTGAAATAATTAAATATATACTGTAACAAATTTTCTGAACTCATTTAAATTGATCGCAAAACTATGGTAGAAAAATAAATATAAAAGTTATTAGGTGGACACATAAATTAATATATTATTTAATTGACCTATAAATATATAATCTGTTTAGAATTTATCTATAATTTATTATTAGTATAATTATAATATTATTTTTAGTGTCGAAACTATTAATTAAAAATAATTTAAAAAATCAAATACGCAAACCTAGAGAAAGTAGCACGGTATATTCAAAATATAATGATATGATGTTATTAATATTTCGTATAAATAATATTGTTTTCTATACTCCATTCAAATATGGTGTACTTTAACGATTTAAATCTTATCATATCAATAATACATATTTCTACCATGTTGTATTAAATAATTTTTTGAATTATATAGAATCACTAGATTCATAAGGAATTATATGATTTATAATTCAGCTTATATTGAAAATTTGCTATAAAAATGTAAATAATATAAAAATACTTGTCAATTTTTTGAAAATAACTTAAATATAAGTGTATGCCTTTACTAAAAAAACAACCATTTGTTAAAAAAGGAATTCCTCTTGATCTTAAAGAAGATGAAGAAGTATTTTTTTGTCCCTTGACTCAAGAAATATTTAGAGATTATGAGTAATATAAATATTATTAATACAATTATTAAAAATTTTAGAGAATTTTTTGAGAGAATTATTGTTTGTAACAGCCTTGTTTGGACTTGTTCAATATCTGGAAGATTTGGGCTCACTTATCATGAGGCATTAGAGTCAGAACAAAAGGCTTTAAAATGTCTTGAAAGCTTCCCTGAAAGTTTGCAAAAACCAATATTATACCTTGCTTCCTTAACCCAACGTGGAACACTCAATGATATGTGTGATGATGTATTTATATTTGCTAGAGACCGATATTTTGTTGATGAAACAGTTCACATTACTATAAATGGACAAAAGTATGCATATTATAAATTTTTAGAAATTATAATAATTATTTTAGAAAAATATGTCATATAGTTAAAGTTATACCTCCTTCAAAAGAGGAAATCAGCAAAAGTTTAAAAAATTCATTTACATCGTAATCAATATTACTGTTGAATAAAGTTTAAAAATAATTTATTAAGAAATCCCAATGAAATGATTGATCCAAATAAACAATTCCATCCTCTTGCAAATTTGTATAAATACCTAGTCAAAGAAATGAATGCTCCAAATACTAAAAGTTTAATTGTTAAGGCACATAGTATTTGTAGACAAAAAGGCTTATATACAAGAGTCAAAAATAAATTATTTCTCAAACAACATACTACACTTGAGAAAAGGACAAGAGTTGTTAAAGTAAATATAATTTTAATTTATAATTTATAACTTGATTTTATTTAATCTATAGGAGGAATGGGTTAAAAAATATAATCTCAACAATTTAGAATTTTCAAATATATTCACCACAGAACTTCCAGAGTTTAGTAATACTCCATCAAAAAAATTATATACCTTAGATTCTACAGAATCCAAAGGGGATATTGATTCTTCTAGGAATGGTAATCTCAAATTATATCAATTTTTATTTAAAAAATAAAAATTATGCATATAATTATTTTATTACTCATTTATATAGCTAATAGAGCCTTGTATCAGACCTATTTTTTTATCTAACCAAATCCAATCCAAATATTATTTTTTTCTAAGATCCTTACAAAATTTTATTTTGTTATTTTTGAAAATAATATATATAAAAACATTAGGAAAATAAAATAATTTTAAATCAGGTCTAAAATAACATTTAAAACCAAGAGCCAAATCCAACCAAGTATTAAAATGTCAGTTCAAGTTTGAATTTGATCTATAGGCCTTAATAACCAGTATCTCGTGAACCCAGTTTCTTTATCATCTTTAACAATTCTAGCTAATTCCAATCAAAAGCATTCAAATTCTCTATCACCATATCACACCATACTCATTAGTAATTTCATTCTACTACCAAATTTTATAATTTAGAGAAACCAAATAGCTTTCTTTTTATGGTCTTTCATAATGGTTCCAAGAATAAGAGAATTTTGTGAAGTCCACATTCATTCCTTGTAATCAATGTCACTTTTTATTTACAACCTTTTACCTTAACATACTTTTCTTCCAGATTAAGTTCTATACCTTTATATAAAAGTTACTTTTAAAATGTAACTAGTTACAGTTACTAGTAGTATTAGCCCAATATTTTAGCCAAAAATATTATGCAAACCTGGATTGCTCATAGTTATAAGAAAGGATTATACATATTTTAAAGAAATCTCAAAGCATGCACAGTATTATTTTGGTTTATCAAATTTAAAATTAGAAGTGTACAGATAGCCTTTTTGGAGGCCAATTAAATCCATATTATATATATTAAATTGATATTGACCAATTACAGATCTGATATCATATCTGATTATGTATTTTGTAAACATACCAATCGTTTTAATTTTTAATGCATACAGCTAGTGTTACAAAATTGTTCCATTTGAGTTGATTTTTAAAATGGCTAACCCACTATTTAATCCAGAAAAATATTACACAAGTCTGAAGATTTTGCTCACTAGCACAAAGGTTTGGGCATCTATTAATGAAATTTCGAAGCTTAGGTAATATTTTTTGGGCTAAAATATTGAGTGGCTCAAATGAAGCGATTTTGAATCACTACATATACATATTAACTATACCATAACATAAGTCATTTAAATTGATCAGTTATAGTTTATATTCATGGATCTAAAAGTATATAAAATATTTTTATTGATAAATCACTTAATAAAACATTGATCTATTTACATCATAAGTAACATGCAAATATATTATGAAATTTGCAATAAATTTTTTAAAAATTAAGGAGCCATTTTATCGGATCGGAAATTTTTTAATATTGGCCGATAACCGATATTTTAAAAAATGAAATATCGGCCCGATTTTTCTGATAAATAAATATCGATACTACCTTATTTAAAATTGTCTAAACTGAGTCGTTTAACAATACTAGTTACTATTTATATTCTTTAAAAAGTAACTAGTTACATTATAATTTTCTTTATAATTGATAATATAATGTCTTTTTTTTATAAATTTTAATCAAAGGCATTCAAATGAAAATATATAATTTATTTATCAAAAAATAATTGCATTGAAAGAAATACCAAAGAATAGAAATTTTTTAATAAAAATTTGGGCATAATAAATTTTTACTTTCCTTTAATAAACTATTTTCAAAATTTTTGTCTAAGATTGATAATAATTTAATATAAGGAAAATTACGAAGTTTGGATTCATCTAGTAAACAAATTTGGGTCATTATCAAGCTCCTTCTAAAAACAACGCTCTTTCAGAGCTAGTTGAGGAGGCTCTGGAATTGCCAGATAATCTTTATATTTTCAATAATATTGGGAAATTTTTTGAAATAATTTCCACCAGTCTAGTAGATATAAATTCTCAAAAAGGATGGCTTTGTTATTATACTTGCATATTTCTAAGCTATTATTATTATGACTATAACCAACCTCATATATTTTATCAAAAAAAGTCACTTTCTTGGATTTATATTATGCTTCATCCAACGAAATTGTAATAATTATTTATTTTATATGTATTATATTCAACCGTTTATTATTTTTTTTAAATATCAAACAAATATATTTAATTAAATATTTGATTTTATGTTGGTATTGTAAAATAAGAATATATTAGTATTGGTCTCACCTCTACACTACCTTAATGTGACTCGTTATACAGAATTTATTATTATTATGAAATTAATTATGTATAAAATCATACATAATATAACCAAAAATAATAAAAATATTGTATCTGGATATTGGCCCGATCTGACATTTAATATCGGCCCGGTCGTAAATTTTTTAAAAGATAATAATTTAACCCACCACTATCTAATTATCTTTTCATATAGATACCCTCGCTAGTCCTTTTCTTGACAAAAATAAACTTAGATATCCCTAATCCTTAGTAAATCACACTTATAATAATCTTACATTATAGATATTTTAATTATAGTTTGTCGTTCTATAATATTCATTACTTTGGAGATTACTAAGATAGCTGACTCAATTCTTATTATAAGCTGATAATGCTAATGAAAAAATTCACTTTTAGACATCTAAGAATAATTTAATAAATATATTAACAGTATAAAACCTAGAACTTTGATTTGTGTCATATAACTGTTTTGAATTACTTATCTGGGATCTTATGACTTTACCTTTTAAAAAGTGGAACCATTTATAAATTAGAGAAGAAAATTTGGTGTCAATGCTTCCTTCTTTAGATTTCATAGGTTTACCTCTCACCCCACCCCCTGGAAAATTGGAACATACTTATAGTTTATGTTATACTACTACCTTCAAATTTAATATCTATATCAAATGGCTCACTAGAAGAAAAAACTAATCGTATTATTTTAAATTTCTGAACTGGCTATAAAAGCAATCTCTAGGTCAAACCCAGATCTATTGCCTACCACCGAAAATCTTCGTATAACTGTCTTTTTTTAAATTATCAATCTACATGCAACAACTGCTCCAACATTATTGCTATCAAAAACTACCACCCACTACACGGTAAATTTTTTAAAGGATGACATAAGAATACTAACTAATGCCTCCACGCCTTCCTTGGAACTATCCAAGGCATATAAACCATTCTTTATATTTAAAAACTATATTTTTTGGGAAAAAATAAACCTTGTTTTTTATCGTTTTTTAAAAAATTTTATTAATATTTTATTGCAAATTTTTTATTTTCACTATCATTTAAATAAAATTTAAAAATAGGGGAGACTGGGGTAAGGTGAACCGATTTTTACAAAATTGTTTATAGCTCCTGGGTTTTTTTAGATAATATAAAAAGCAATATATGATTGGATACCTAAAACTATACTCTATAAAGGTGCCTTATAAAAAAATTCTAGAATATAATCATTTTTTTGAAATTTTATTTTTTGTAAAAGTCGTAAATTTGCCCAACAAGCCCCAATAGCGGGGTGAGGCAAACCACTTCAAGGGGCTTCCTAAACCAATGGTTTTTTAGGCCATAATAAATTGAAATGTATTTTTTTTATTAATAATGATACATATACTATAATTTTATTCTTTTATTGTTAAAAATATCATAATACATATAAATTGAAGCTAATTATATATAAAAATTGAAACTTAATTTTGGTTAATTTAATACACATTTTGGACATATAAAAAATTTATCAAAATTAACACATGTACCATGTGCCCATTCGGGGCACATTCTGCACTGGTACCACTCTTCACCATTATGATGTTTGATATATTCCATCTTACAACAAACACAAATATCTTTGTGAATAATTTTTTTCTCTATTTTTCTCTTGTTAATATTTTCTTTTTCCATTATTTTCTTTTCTTTCTCAATTATTTTCTTTTCTTTCTCAATTAATTTCTTTTTATAAGGAGATTAATATCTCTGCTCTCCTTTTAACTCTCTTGACTCTTTCCTTTTTGGGATGAGGCAAGGATATTGATAAATTGCACAATGGTCCAGGAATATTATCTAAATGAACATAAGACGTAGATGGAGTATCATTACATATATCTAAGTTTCTATTAGTATTTAAAATATCTTTTAATACCAAAGATACTGAGCTTGATTCTAATAATGGGCTTTTTGGAAGTTCACATATAGAATCTCCATAAACTGAGGCCACATAATCTTCTTTATTGAATATATCTGTATTCAGTGGATATATTCCACATGCTTTAAAACCATTTGATATATTGAGAGGTGATGCTGCTAAAGGCAAGACATCCTTAATAACTGATGGAATATCATAAATTGTAAATAATTTTGAAGTGCATTATTGTAATATTTTTTGAGAGGCCCAAAAACAGACCGATCAAGAGGCTGTAATTTATGGGTGCAATGGGGTGGCAAAGATAATAGAATTATTCTCGTATCTATACAAAATTTGACAGCTGAATAGGAGTGGTGTGATATATGATTGTCAAGGATTAATAAAACTTTGGACTTTGGAGTACACCGAGTGTGTCTAGAGAAATGCTTCAAAAAAATAATAAAACTCTTGCATCCATCCAGAACCATTTGATACCCCTATAGAGCCAGATGGACCATCTCTAACAAAATAGTCATAATATTTTTTTCTGGGAAAAAGAAACATTGGAGGAATTGTATGACCAATTGCATTTACAGCAAGCGCTAATGTTATTAAGGTACTCCTTTCTGCGGAAGTAATAGATCCTACCTGTTTTTGACCCTTTTGTGCAATAATCTTGGATGGGGTTTGAACTGTGGTAAGTGCAGTTTCATCCATGTTGTAAATTGCCATACATTCTAATTTATGTTCATCTAATATTCCTAAATATTAAATGTAAACATTTACTTAACAAGTCATTTAATAAACTTTTATATAAATCAAAAAAGTATAGAACATTTTCTTCATTAAATCCAGTTGCCCTAGCCATACTTGTAGCTTCAGGGGATCTTAAGGAGAGAGTAGGATTTCTTGACATAAATCCTAAATACCAGTCATGGCCAGCCATTTTGTCCTTCCAAGATTTAGGAAATTTTTTCTTCATATTTACTGCCATTTGTGGTAGGCTAATATTTTTATCTACAAAACAATATAAAACAATGAAGAATAAACTATACCTTTTTAATTGAAAGGCCATAAAAAATTTGGCTAGATTGAATCAGATATTTAGTTATATCTCCCTCTCCTTCTTCTGTGAATATCCTCTTTTTATTATTTTGTCCTACACTAGTAAGTATGCCACTTTCTTGATATCTCTTATAATATCTCATAAAGTTTGATCTAGGAATACCTAAAATAAAAATGTCAAGTAAAATATATAATTATTTAATTATAAGTTTAACATTTAAGAACATAAAATTTAAAAATGATAATCTCTTTACCATTGCCATTTAGATTTTAGTAGCATATTCTCTATTATTAAATATTGCTAAAATTTGATTTTAATGTTTAAGAATTACATAAAATTAATACAATAATACTATACTTCATCTAAATTGTAATCAATCTAAAATATAAGATCATTTATAAATTACATTTAATAAAAATATTTACATAATTTCTATTATTAAATATTGCTAAAAATTGATTTTATTGTTTAAGAATTACATAAAATTAATACAATAATACTATATTTCATCTAAATTGTAATCAATCTAAAATATAAGATCAGTTATAAATTACATTTAATAAAAATATTTACATAATTTCTATTATTAAATATTGCTAAAAATTGAATATATTGTTTAAAAATTACATAAAATTATTGTGATTATAATCTTAAAAATAAGACAGATAATGTAGATAAATTTACCTGTAAGTTGGCTAGTCTTCCTTGTTGATTTACAATTTTCATATACCCTATTAGCCTAATTACAATTATAATATTAATTCATTAAATTTTTATATACTTCTAAATAATTATCAATATTAAATGATTCTCCTATATTAATTTTTTTGGATTTATATTTTCGCATCATATCGAATAATGTAAAAACTTTCCCAAATTATAGAAGAGTGTTTAAACTTTGCTATAAAATTTAATTTATATATAAATGAATATATTTTTTAATAAAAATTAAAATTCTAAAATCTTTAGAAAATTTCATCAAAATTTTATTTCTTAAATAAAATTTTTAATAATTAATCATTTCAAAAGATTTTTTTGTCTATAGATGTAAACTAATAAAATCTATATTAGGATAAAATTTTAACCTTCTAGTGTTTATAATTTTAAAATAATATTAAATGGTTTGCCAAGCCCCACGGTTTACCTAACCCCAGTCTCCCCTACAATAAATTTAACAATATAAATAATAGACAATCGAGTATTCTCATGAACATTCTTTAATTGAAATATAAATTGGTTATATTGAATTTTGTGAACAAGATGATAAGGGGCTGGTGCATGCTCATTGTTGATGTTAAAAGTAAAATATCATCATTTTCTGCTTGAGCATTTATCTTGCCTACACAGTTTATATTATGATCCTTTAGAAGGAATTTTTTTTTAAACTGCAACGTTCATCCTATCATTTTACAGATTTACCAGTGGAGTTAAAAAGTTTTTAAACCGTGAACCAATGAACTAAGCTTTGAGGGTATTTTCGTAGAAGTTGTTTGGTGCGTACCAGGCGGGCAATCTTATTACACATCTGTTATAGTGTTATTAAACGGCTCGATTTGAGCCGATTTTTAAAAACGGCTAATTCAATATTTTAGCCATAAAAATATTCTAAGAATCGAGATTCGTTAATAGCTGTTCAAACCATTATGCCAACTGTGAGCAAAATCTTAAGGCTTGCATAATATTTTTCCTAATAAAATATTGAGTTAGCCTTTTTTAAAATTGGCTCAAAATAAGCCGTTTAACAGCACTAATTTATGAGGTCCTGGACTTGTTTCTTTTTTAAACATTTCAGCTAGTTATTTGAGGATAATTTGATATACTAAAGTTTATAAAATGCCAGTTTTCGGGATACTTGTCGAATTGTTCGGCGGGTGCCAGGTCTTCTTGGCTCAATACGAGTGTTCAACAGAATCAACATTTTCCATAGTACGAGCTATAGGTGGTCTACCACCACCCCGTTTTTCTGCTGATCCGATAGCATCAAATTTTGCAATCATTTGATTCAAGGCTGCGATAGACAAGTAACTCATAGTCATCTTTACTCAAAACCATTTTTTTAATCGTCTGCTTAAATGTAAAGTAAAAAAGCTAGAAATAAATTTTTACAAGTCGACGTTATTTCTTTTTAAAGAAATGTTAATGAAATACAATCCAGATTATATTAATTTAATTTGGAATCCTTTAAATATTACATATAATGACAATGTATTTTTTTTAGTACCAATGATATTGAAAAAAATGTTAGTGCACCTCTGTTTAAAAGTCTCGCTCGTAACATTTAATCGATGGATTCGATCAATTTGCAAAACGAAATAATCATTATATGGGCACATAATTATAAAATCGCTTTTTTCAATATGACTAAGCGTATGACACAAACTTACAATCAAAAGTGTGACCATTGTTGATTTATATAAACGAACAAACATCTCACTAATTTAGGCAACGAATTAATCGAATAACGCCGATTGATAAAAAAAACAAATATTTTGAAATAGACATTATAGTTGTACGTTTTTATGATTGCAGGATTATTATAATTTTTAGAAGGGAGAGGCTTGGTATCTGTAATCCTCATGAAATATTTATAAAATTCATGGATGATTTTATTGATAACATGATTGTAATTTATAATAAAAATATTATAAGTAATATAATACTATAATAAAGCTATTTTTTTTAACATAAAATTTTTATAATTCTCTCTACTCTTTGCATGGCATTGGATTTGGTAATCATGTTAATAACTATATAAAATAATCGTTAAATAAATATATATATTTTTGGTTAGCATAATCCTTGACAATTCCAAAACTTTGAAAACGATTACCATGTAATTTATACTTGATTTTATACCACGCCCCAACACTAATAGATGGCAATTTAATGAAAAATAGTTTTGTTTGCCGTAGTTATTTATATGATAATTATAAGTTACAATTATTCAGCGAATCATCTTTTAGGAAAAATTATAAAGTGACAAAAATTTACAACTAATACGAATAAGGATTGATTATTTTTATTCATCAAATTTTTATTTACATATTGTGATTTGAAATTCACGAATCGAATATGAAATATGCAAATCATTTTCGAATGAGCGCGTAACATTAAATCATATCTCATTATGAAAATCTAACATTGCAACTTCTTCAAAAAAATCATAAACAGGGATGCACCCTTTCACATTGTTTTATTTTATTTGATCTGGATGAGTATGCAGAGGGGTCACAGTAGTTTTTAGATTTTCTTTTTTTATGATGTTATAAAACGTTTACGATATATAATTCAAACATTGTGTGTTAGTTAACCAATATAATTTTTATTATAGTGATTTAATTTAATTTAAAAATCTGTTGTTAAAAGTTACTTTGAAATATAACTAGTTACAGTTACTAGTTACATTGGTAAAAATATAACAAGTTACTAGTTACAGTTACTAGGTACATTGGTAAAAAATAACAAGTTACAGTTACTAGTTACAGTTATATTTCAAAAGTAACTAGTTACATAATAAGTTACTTTATACACCATTCATAAACGCATTATTTATTTACTGATAAAAAAATTAGAATATAATAATTATAATCAATTATTTGAAAGATTATACAATTTATTTATATAAAAAAATAATTAAACCGAAAAAAAATATCGGAAAATAGAATATATTTATTAGAGACCTGCAGGCCCGGCCCTAAGACCGGCCCGGGAACACAGGCCGGGGACGTATTTTAATTTTTTTTTAAAAATAAACTCAGGGCGAGCCTGAAATTTTTTTAAAACTAAATATCCTGTCAGGCCGTATATTTTAAAGCCAAATATTTGAAATCGCCATTATTAGCTATAAAAATAAATATAATATATTTAAAAAATCCGTGCCGGGTCTAAAAATTTTTCTTATTAGTAAGTAATGATTACTAATTTAGTAGTTTATTCAAAAATTATTTAATTCTAAAATAATCTAAGTTTTTGTCGTTCCTTATACTAAGTTCTATGATTTAATTTAGTAAAATTAAAAAAAATACATTTATATGAAATTCCATAAATATTATGAGCAACTTGAGGGCAAAAAATATGGAATATATTGTGCTAAATAGGTAAAGAAATATAATATTAAAAAATAGGTTTATTAATTGAATTTGGTTACAAAATTATGAAACCCAGCAATGTAACAATTTAAGAAAATAAAATCTATTTAGACGGGAAATTATATTATTGTTGCATACCCTTTGTGAACACAATCAGACATTTAAACAATTTATTTTAAAATTAATTTATCATACCCTTGAATCGGACTGCCCACCTGAAAATTTTATTGTAATGGACAAAACTAGCTTTACCCATTTAAGTTCACTCATTGGAGGTGAAAGTGCTATATTTCATTTCAGAGATGAATTTCTTGTCAAATTCAATAGAATACCAGTTCATCAGGCTTTTTATTTATTTAAATACCTTTTATTAATTCCTAAAATTTTACATGCCTTTCGTTCATCAACAATTTTCATGTCCCTTGAAATATTATTAGACCTGAGGTTCATTATAAAAATACTCTCGAATCCATTTTAAGTAAAATTCTCTTCATTCTTTAGTATGCAAGCTGCCCTTCCACCAAAGCTAGGTGGTATAGGTATCCATTCCCCCATATCTTTAAGCATTTCAGCCTTTTTATCCTCTGTTGCTTAATTTCCATAGACACTCTCGAAGACTTGGATACTATCGAATCCACATCATATGGCAACATTAAACCTCTGGAGCAAAGGTTCTCCAAGCCGCTCATATCCAAATTTAAGACAAAGAGACTGGATACAGCATTGTTGAATACTTACACTTCAAAGATGCTCAAAGAAAATCTTCATCGCTCTTTCTCCCCTTAAACCCAACCCCGAGTATACAGACAACAATACGACTCTTTTGCTGGATCAAATAATTCTAACCTCAGCCATATGCCATCTTGGCTACGAATGGTTTGAAATTATACCTTCTAATTTAGGCCTGTTTATTAACCAACGAAGAACTTAGAATAGCGATAGGTCTTCGTTTTGTAAAATCGTAACGTCGACATCATGTGTCCCTTGTGAAACTCATATCGATAATCTTAAACACATCCCCCCCCCCCCCCCCCACATACTGTCGTTTTTTAAAAGGCAAATTATCCAGGCACTATGCCATCAATTCGATCATCAATAGAATCTTGAAATCCGCAAATATTCCTTCTACACTGGAACCCTCTGGCTTCAGTCCTGATGGAATGACGCTAGTCCCTTAAAACCAAGGTATACCCCTCGCTTGGGATTATACATGTGGTGTAGATGGTTTTGCCAAATCTTTTATATCAACTCTATCACGAAAGCTGAAAATAAATAAATAAATATAGCCACCTTAATAATCTTTTGTTTGTTCCGGTAGTCTCAGACACCTGTGAATCATTTGGACCCCAAGCCCTAAATTATTCAAAATAATAGGGCAAAGGTTACGTTTAATCACAGATGATAAGGCTTCTACCTACGACAAAGAATATCAATCAAAATTTGTCGATCCAAATGTATATCTTTTACATTGGTCATTAAGCCCCTCCGACCAAACCTAAATACATTATTTTATTTAAGTTCTCTTCTTTTAATTATATATTTTTACATAGAATATAGATATAGTATTATAATTTTAATAAATAGTTATATTATTTAAAAAAAACATGTTAAAAATAAAATTAATTACTGAAATATATTATTTAGATTTATAAAATATATATTAAGTAATTAGTTACTTCTGACAGTTACATTTCAAAAAATATAATAGTTACAGTTACTAGTTACAATTTTTAAAATATAATTAGCTACAGTTATTTTTTTTAGCAAAAATGTAACTAGTTACTTTAACAACATTAATATCTATAGATGATTCTATTTTTTTATAAAAAATAATTTGCATTTGTCTTATATGCATTCAAATAATTTTTAAATAAAACAATTAAAAGCGAATACAAAGGTTTCTAATAAATCGACGCTGTTAGTGTCTTATGAACATAACAATAATGAAATTACAAAAAGAAAATTAAGCCCCGAAGAAGAAGCTGATAATCAGAGACTTTTGGATATGGAACAAAGAAAGGTTGAACGTGAACAAGTTATTTATTTTCTATACAAACGAATAAGTTTAGTTGTTTTATTATAATTATCTCATCAATTATGGAAAATAGTAATTTACCTCATAAGATGGAAGTAAATTTATATATTATTTTTCTTCTTCTAATTTTATGATCATTAATTGTTAAACCTTGTATATATATAATTGTATTCTATGTTTCTGATTCTTTCACTATTTTCTTTGGTGATTTATTGCATCGCTAATTTTTTTATATAAAAATTTTTTGAATATATAATCAGTAAAATATAAATTTATCGTATTTTGCTTATGACTTTGTAAAACTAGCTTATTTTTGAAGCCCCTTATAAAAAAACAATTTTTATCAGAAAAGAGAAGAAGTTAAAGCTAAGGCTGAATATCTCAAGGCCTGGAATAAGCCACGGGATGATTTAGAATGCGACGACCTTAAACCATTACCCCCTTCTTCAAAAATTCCCACCTATCTCACTGGTCAATGCTTTGCCGATGCATTAGTGGTTTTAGAATTTATAGCTTCATTTGGGGAATTGTTAGACGTTAAAGATAATTTTCCTGATGGGCTATCTTTTGGTAAATCAATAAGATCTATTTTTATGATTACTGACTCATAAGGATACAGTATATAGACAGATACAATTATTATCTTATAATAACATCCAAATTTATCTTTTTACTAATTATAATACAAGATATTTTTTGAATATTTATATATAGAATATTTCTTTTTCTAACTCTCTTTAAAATAATGAAGTATCAATTATAATAATATTAATAGAATAATTTATGAAAACATAATAATCTTCATGTCTAATTTAAGTTCTTTAAAATTATTAAACATTGAATGTTATTACTGAAGAATGGCTATGAAATTTATATTTTAAAGATCAAATAGAAAGAGCGCTTTTGTCCGACGAATCTAATGGGCCCTATTTTGAACTTTTACAATTTTTCCTCTCTTCCATATTCCATTTACAATCAGAAGAAGAGCATCCTAACGAATTTCAAAATGAATCAGAAGAAATGACCGGTATTTGTTACTTATTACTTGATAATTTGATTGATTTTTTTGAGACAATTATTTAGTTGAAATACAAAAATTTTAAGTTCACACCAAATATCAATATAACAATGTTTCCCACTCTGAAAAATAAAATGTATAATATCTAATTATTGTTAGATGTTCAATATCTCTATTTTAATTACCATCGACCTACCTCTTTTTGCCTTCCTTCTCTCTATTTTTATAATTATTTTATTTTGTAATCATTTCTTTAGGGCTGTGCCGATATTAAATATCGGATCGAATCGGCACAGATATTTGGCGTTTTCCAAAAATATCGGATCGGGCCGATACCTGGAAAAACCGATCCGATCTTTTTACTTTTCTTTTTTTAGTTATATTATGTTATGTATATTTATTTTACATTATTATAATACTTTCTAAATAATTTTTTTATAAACAATGCAAATGCACAACACCCTCTAGATTTTATTTCTTTTTTAAATAGATTCATATTTTAAAAGTTTTTTTTATAAAAATAGAAAGGAACACCCAAAGTTATATTTATTTTAAATCTTTTTAAATAATGACGCCAATTTTATTATTTATATTTTAAATAAAAGAATTTTCTCATATTTATTTTAAAAAATCAAATATATTAAAATTTTATATATTAAATATTTCAATTTTAATTTGTACCAACATAAAATGGATATATTATTAAATATATATTTTTTAAATTATAGTCTTAATTGTAGAAATAAAAAAAAATTAAATTAAATGTATAATTCGATTTTTTGCATAAAAAATATTGATTTATTAATTACATTTGGTTCAAATGGGGGTGGTGAAAAATCAGTATAAATATCGGAGGTAACGGATCGGTGAAAAATATGTAAATAGGCAAAGCCCTATTTTTTTTGATTGTTATTTTTATGCTCTACTTATTATTTACAGTTGCTAAAAAATTAATATAATTTATTCATTCACCAAGAGGAACTAAAAAATCAAAACGAGCTAGTGAGAAAAGCTACCCTCAGTTCCAACCTTGCTAAAATAAGATACGGTCTTACTCTAAAAGAATTATTGAGACTCGATAGCAATGCCCATAACATGAGCGAGATATTGAGACTACACTTGTTGGCATCTGGAGGATTGGGTCACCACAAAAACGCCCTCTACAGGTTTTATAAAGATATTTTAAACATTGACATTGCTTGCTTATGTATGCGAAAATAAAATACACTCACAAATCACACAATTAGGGTGTTTTCTTATAGAAATTAATTTATTATTGTGAATTGTGACGTGCATAAATTTATTATATTAATTTTTTAAACATTTTATATTTAAATTATGTATAAAATCTTCTCGATGCTTAAATATATTAATTATGTAATAATAGGTATCAACAAAGAGGAGCTTATATACCTAAAGATGATCCTGGGCTCGAGCTTAAACTGATAGATCCTGTTTTAGTCAAACATCTTTCAACCACTTTTGTATTTGAGTTGACACCGGGTAGACTATCAAATACCTAATATGTCTGTTTAAATTAACTAAATATATATTATTTTATTAAATCACAGAACAAAAGGGAAAAATTTTGTGTACCTTGATTAGCCAGCTTCTGACCTTCGTAACCCTTAGAGAATATATTGAAGAGAACTTGGAAAAAGTTAGGAACGTCAAAATTGATATCAGGACTCATAACTCTTTAGTCAACCAAAATAATAGCCCTAATTTAGTCAATGACGAATCATGTGTTGGCGCATTAGAGGGAATCGTGAATGTTACTAATGAGACTTTGGAGAGTGACAAAAATAATTCATCCCTCCCAATGAGCAAAGAAGAATTGTACAACAAGCTAGACTTTCACCAGACGAGAGGTGCACTTTTTCCTTTGGGTAGAGATCGCAGCTATAAAAGGTTTTGGATTCTCAACGTCTTACCAGGCCTCTATATCGAAGATTTTGAACTAGAACCAGGGGAATGTGTTACATACTCACCAACGCCCTTGTACTTCCCATCAAAAGACGTCGATGGTTTTAATGAATCACTAATCCAAAACGATAAAGAAGAAAAATGTGATATCAAAGTTAAGCCAGAATATGTGATGGACAATGGACTGGGATTCGATATAAATAAATTTATGAATCATTTGTTGGTTAGAGTTGATCAGAATGTTAATAATATAATCGACCAGGATAGATGCTTGCCATATATGGTTATTAATCGAAAGTTGGATATTTTGGAAGAATTAAAGTCTAACATAAACAATAACTACACATATAGCAGTGACAATAAATCTCGAATTATTACCAAGGAAGAACCTCTCGATGAAGACCTGCTTAGGTTGGAACGTATATTGTGCACAGGTTTCAAAGCTGTCTGCCCTGTGCATTCAACCAGCGAAATAAGAGAACGGCTTCAAAAATCTCGCTCTGTTCCTCTTTGGAGCTCTTCAAATGATAATGCAAGGTCTATTTGGTCGGTTTTCAGCGATCATGACGCTTACTCATCCTTGCTTAATTGCCTTAACAAACGCGGTTTTCGAGAAAAATATCTGAGAGCCATCTTGTTAGAACGGAAACTCAAGGTTACTGCTTCCATTTCTAAATGTGACGAAACATTTTTGATAAGAAAGGGAGCTATACCTACTTACGATCATCTCGATAACAAAAATGATTATATCGGAAACATAGGCAGAGAGGCAGAAATAGAATTTCGGGATTCTTTATTGGATCTCGAAGAAAGAGTGTTTACCAGTGGTCTAGGCCATATATATGTAAATATATTTTAATTATATTATTTGGATATTAGAATATCATAGTTGTATTTATCTATAATTTTTTATATTATAATAATAATTTACATGATATTTTTCATTACAAGGTTACGAATAGAAATACATGGAGAATAGCTTTAGAGGAAGATAAATATGACGATGAGATATTTAATGAAGTGCAAGATGTTTCCGATTATGATGAGTCATTTAAATACGAAATCGAGTTAGTTAATTTTACATAGTATATTTGATTGTTGATAGTTTAGAAGCATTAAACCAGATGAGTTTGATATCTATCAAAGACCTGTAGAGGTATTATTTGCTGAATATGTAAAATTACCATTATTAGCTATAAAAATAAAAATTATTTTAAAAAGATCCGGACCAGGCTGCTCAAATGGTACCTCTGCAGATCTTTGATTAATAATATCAATTATTATTTTTTTATAAAGGAAACATTTAAGGAAAAAATTTATATAATTATTAAAAATTTTTTTTATTCATTTAAATAATTTAATTAATCTTATTGAGAATGAATAAATTTTAATATTCTTTTCTATTATTGGCTTATATAGTACTTGACTTAATAAGAATTATTTTAGGGGCCTAAGAAAAGCCGATTTTTACACCATTTAAATTTAAAAAGATCGTATTATATTTTTATCTATTAGTATCGCAATAAGGAAACGCCAAATAAATAAATTAAAATTAATATCTTTTGGTACCATTGGTATTGGCACATTTCTGGTTTCAATCTTATAGCAAAGGTGCGATTAATTATGATGCAATAGGGGGTAAATCGCAATCGAAATAATTTGCATTAAGATTAAAAATGTTAAGCAAAATAATAATTTTATTTTATTTCTTTTAAAATTCAAATATATGCTTGTATATATAATACAGTCATATATTCTTGGTCAAATAAATTAATCGATAATATGTTAAATTGACGCCTCAAAATAAAAAACATTTAAATGGACATGTAAAATCAAAATAAAATGTGAAATTAACGCCTTAGACGGTAAAAAATAAAGATTTACATATCAATTGAAAATTGCAATATATTATTTTACAATAATATAACAAATTAAAATTTAATTTATAAAATTTATATTGATTAAACTTTAAAAACCAAATTTTATGTGCTAATTTACATTTCTTCAGAATCAATTTACTTGAACACTCTAGCTTTCTTTTATATTATATATAATATTAAAATTTACTGAAATTAATTTATAACAGAAATCCTATCGAAGTGGATGAGAATCATAAATTAAAATGTTTTGCTAACTGCCTTCTTCAAATATCCAAGGGAATAGACACCAGATTTCTTCAATGCCCTTTGGGTTAGTTATTTATATATAAACATCATTAATTTTATAATTTCTTTATTGATAGGGGAAGATGAAAAAACAAAACAAAATAGGGTGAAAAACGTTCTTGATGCCAATGCTAAAAATGGTAAAAAGTTTTTAATTTATTTTTTATAAAAATTTAAAATTTATTTCATTTATTTTTATATATTTATACAATGATTCATATGGGAAAACCCTGCATCTCCGAAAAAAATATATCCCCCCCCCCCCCACTATAAAGTCATAAATATAGTAACTAATATGGTTAGGGTCCACCCCTTCATATAAACATTATGAAAAAAAATCAAGTGACCTAAAATGGCCACATATATATTTGAAGCGATTATATTATTTTGAAACGATGTGATAGATTAGACAAATAAATTAAAATATACTTTTTATTTTTTAAAAAATTTAAATATAAATAAATTGCTAAATTAATTTTAAATTAAATATAAAAGAATATAATATTAATAAAGAAAATTTATAATATAAATCAATCAATTGAGAATAAATTTATTATGATTCAGAAATAAGAAAATTTATATTATATTACAATGCAAAATTATATTTACAATATTTTAGCAAACTTTTAATACTCTAGCTCTATTAATATATATAATAGACAGCAATTTTATTTGAATTAATAATTAAAAATACAATCATTTTTTGCATAATAAAGTATTAATTGAATTAAAATTAATTTGATAACTCATTTTCATTAATAATATCTAATGATTTTTAGATATTATGTAGTAAAATATTTTATAATAAATTAAGGAGCTTTTATTTTGTAATCTAATAACAGAAAGGTTCACAGATTTAGAATAACCAGCTAGACTTTGAGAGTCATCTTTTTAAACTGGAGTTTTAATTTGAAAATTTGAATATTTAAGATTAATTATTAATTACAATTATTTACCTTGAACAGGGAGGTTCACAGATTGAATTTGAAAATAACTAGCTACACTTTGAGAAATATCTATCTAAATTTGAGTTTGATTTTATAATATGTGGTAAAATATTTATACCTAAAATTTGAGTATTTAAGATTAATTTTAATCACAAATATTTACTTTGGATTGATTTACAAGTTTCGAAATGTTTATACTTTAATTTCTAATTATCTAAGTTTTGATATTTATATATGATTTCCCTCCTACCTCTTGAATCTTCATAGTTACCTCAGTTAACTAACATATGGGTAATCCAATCTTTGGTTTGGCTATTTTTTTGGGAATCTAGTGGCCATTTATGGGAAATTTATCAATACAACAAAAACACCTATTCCATAATTAAAATACGAACTAGAGGGACGATACTACTAACATTGATCGATATCTACATATAAATATTTTTATGAAAAAAACATACTTAATTACTTATCCACCTTTTCTAAATCCGTAATTTTTTATTATTTTGAAGGAAATTTATCTTTCTCTTGAATTATTAATATTATAAATCTTTGCTGATTATGTGTTGGGATATCATGGTGTCTACCAATTATAAAATAAAAATTATAACTTCGAGATTTTTCTTTTCGGATTTTTATTAGTTTCTCTTATTTTTTTTAGATTGGGGCTAGTCAAATGAAAAATATAAAATTTTCAATTCTCTTAAATGTGAACGAAAAGTAATAAAAACATTTTAAAAAAAATATCACTCAGAAAAAACGGGAAAGCATGAGTAAGCAATTTTTATTTTCTTTTTGTGTTAAATAAAAATGGTCTAAAAAAATCACAGTTTTATAAAAAAATAGATTGTTGCAATAAATAAATTTCAAAATGGAATCAAATAGTTATTCAACCAACGTTTAGAGGGCTAAATAATTTGTTATTGTCTGATACTGGTCGATATTCATTATTGATGCATCCTGACTAAAACTTATTCAAATACGAATTGAATAATTTACCTATATAATTATCCGAATTGAATGTGAATAGTAAATTTTTGTTAATCTTGACTAAAAACTACCATGAAAATTAATAATAATTACGAAATAATTAAATCTATAATTTTTTAAAATCTATTTATTTGTTGTAAAGGAAATTTAGAAATAACATTTAATTTTTTTATATGGGCTTCATCTTTTGGAATTTTTATTTGTCATTTAAAAATTATATCTAAAGTGCTTATAGAATCCAATTTAAAAAGGAGGCTATGGGCAAATGTTGAATTATTTAACTTTCAGTTTAAACAAAATTTTATATGGCAAATTTTTAAAATCAGCTCCTCATGAAAAGTGTCAAGTCTTGAGTGTGAGCACACAAATCCTGATTTGTAAAAATATGCCCTGTCAACATCCAAAGCATGACAAAATATAATAGGGCTATATTTGATTAGTAGAAAACATACCTATTTTTGTTTGTTTTAAATACTATAATGAAAACTTATTATATTAAAAAAAAATAGAAGCCAATGTTTTTACTCAAGTAAACGATACTAAACTAGACTCATCTATCTTTAATATCAAAGAACAAACCCTTTTAATACCCCCGATGACTCAATTCCACAGGAAATGGGAACACTCTCTGCATCAACGATTCCAAAATTTATCTCAACTATTTTTGCATTTAATGGTGCTCGACAAAAGCATAACATGGTCTAAATCTCTCCTTAAAGTCAGATGCAAGATTTGTCGCAAGAAAAATAACCCTGAGCAGCTACTTTTATGTGACGGTTGTAACAAAGGTCATCACACCTACTGTGTCAAACCAAAAATCAAAGTTAGTTTTTTTAAATAATACTGTATATCGTCAGTCTGACTGCAAAACTATCTATCTAACTTATTAGAGATGAATAGTGCTATTGAAATTTACTTTTTAAATAACTAGTTACTAGTTATATTCTTAAAAAGGTACTAGTTGCAGTTAAATTTCAAAAGTAATTAGTTACTTTGTAATTAATTTATATAACAATAAAATTTTTACAATAATGAAAATTACTTAGAGAAATAAATAACTACACTGAAAAAAAAATATGCCACAATTCGTATTGAAAAAAATATATGAATAAAACACGATAAATAATTTATTTTTGACAAAAATTTAAGATTAATAATTTTTCAAGTGACTTTAATAAACTATTATCAAGATTTTTGTCCAAACATTCTACAGGAGCGCTTTATATAAATGGGACTAAGATTAATTTAGAATTTGAGAAATCATAAATTATTAAATGATATATATATATTTTTTTAACATAATTAGGGTGCGAATCTATTAGTATAACAGTTCAGTTCCATTCCAAATTTTAGTTTTAAATTTAAAAATGGATTTTGGTTATTTTTGAATATTTATACAGGTTCTTTTTGGGTTAACAAGAAAAAGAAAATAAGTTGAATTTCTTAATTTTATAAAACATTTCAAAAATTGGTATGAACCGATAAATATTTATAACGGTAAATTTCTCTCCTCGCGAAACTTTATAAGGTTTATTTTAATTTTGCAATTCAATTCAGTTCGACACTTGTAGAATTAGATTAATTACTAAATATTGCTCACTCTTGTCTTATTCCGATTTTTCTTATAATTTATATATATTTAATATTGGAAAGGATATAAATTTTAATCCAGCAACTATCAATAAAATCTATATTATTACTGACAGTGGACCAGTCACCAAATCCATAACTAAATTTTTTTAATAATACGATTATTTACAAATAATTTTATGAATATGTTTTATTATTCGCCATTTCGAATACGAATATTCAATAATTTTTGGATAGGCCTAAAGTAATTAGAAGCCAAAAACAGCAATATATGAAATGATGATTATAAATACTTTATTTGTTAGTATTTGGATAGTCGATATTTAGGTTTTGTGAAATAATTATGATAAACTATATTTGACCAATTTATTTGAAATTTTTTGATATAGATAGAAAGTTTTCTCTTTTAATCTGTAGGAATTACCTTAAATTATATATAAAATTTGTATGTTGTTTTTTAATATAAAATCCTTACTTGATTATTAAACATAATACTAAAATATTTATCCATATATATATATATATAATCCATAATAGAAAATTCCAGATGGTGACTGGTTCTGCCCTTCTTGCAAAAAATCCCTTTTACCATCAACAAACAAAAAAATCAGGCAATACAATCATATTATGACCACAAACCAATCCTCAAATTACGAATTAGTCGACGACAATAGCGACGCTTCTAGTACTTTAACCAACAATACTCAATTCACGCCTCATTACAATAGTGAAGATGACAATTATAAAAAGTTATTGTAATGCTAAATTTGTCATTATTTTTACACCTTTGCTACCAAGCGTCTTCCTTTTTTTGGTCTATAGAACAGAATTAATATATAGTGCTGTAAACTTTACTACAAAAAGGAAACGCGTTACCGTTACTCGTTACCATTTTACAAAAGGAACGCGCGTTACCGACTTGTCAAAAAAGTAACGGGCTACGTTACTTAAAAAAATTAAATGTTATATATAATGCAAAAAAATATTTATTTTTTTCCGACAATATATAATAAAATAAAACTATACAAAAAGAACATATAAGATAAGATCTTTTTATAATAAAATTTTCATATATAATTATAATATGAATAAAATTATATTAAAATAACATATTATAAGATAACATTTTTATGTAACAATTTTTTATTTATTTTTAACAATTGATTTTCAAAATTTTGTTCAGATACATGAGCGCTTAGTACTCAACACAACTTTCACCGTGCTAAACACACGTTCAATTGGCGCAGAGGATGGGAGTGTGGTGTTATATTTAATAAACAAAAATTTCAATTCGGGGAATTTATTAAAAATATTTAAGGAAATATCTTTAATTTGAAAAAAGCTTGAAAGATAATCTTCACAGAGTCATTCATTTCCTCATTAAAAATTTTTTTATCATTATCTGAAAATATTCTAGTGTGTGTGTGTTGGATAAAGGAATCAAGCCTGTTCTTTCTTTATCAATATCTTTTCTCAAACAGGAAATAAGTTCCAGCATTCTTCCTTTATTGACCTCTAATTTCATCCAGGGCCAATCCAGTTTAAATAGTGGGTGAATTATTGCCGATAGTATATAATCATCATCATAGATGTGTTTGAATCTATTGAAAATATGATAGTCAAAATATAAATTATAAGCAATATCTATGGCTTCCAGGATTGAATCAATAAGCAGCTTACAAAACTTAAAATTAAGCCAATTTTTTAAGTTTTGATATTATAATGGTTATAGTGGGAGTGAGATATCCCAAAATGCATATTTTCTTCGCTCTCTAAAATTGAAAGAGCCGTAGCTATCGGTTCCATAACCTATAAAATCATATATATACATATCATATTTTAATTAACACTAATCATACAATATTTATCTATGAACGACTTGTTGTTATCTAAAAATCTCTGTAATCCAGATTTCTCGCAAAATTCATCAAATTTTTGGTAATTCACCTTAAGACTATTTATTAATTTTACAGAGTTATAGAAAGAATTCCATCTTGTTATAACAGGTTTAATCAAATATCTTCCCATATTTTCCTTAAAAATGGCTGCACAGTTAGAAGATTGCTCATGTTTATTAGCTTACATTTAGGAAATGTAATTTTTTAAATAGTTTTTAATGGACATCGTTGAGTGCCTTTTCAGTGTCAATATATAAGATTTAAAGTGTGTGCTAAACAGGAATGATGCTTAGGTAAGTATACAATACTATCATTAATATTTTGATCTTCAAATAGATCAAATAATGGCAGTAGAACTATTTCATCATCCGATTCCTCTCCTTGTTCATATACTCTAATAAATTTTTAATAAATATATTATATAATTTTTTTTACTTGAGGGCTTTTAAATAATTTCTAGCATTATAATAAAATAACAATATGATTATAATATGTTCTTTTAATTAAAATTTTTAAAAGCAAAACTTAATTATAATAAATTCTTAGTCATAATATTTATATGTTTTTTATAAAGGTATTGCATTTGCAAAAAAAGTTATTTATATTTTGATAATATACTCATTTGTATTAATTATAAATATAATTATTAAATTATATATATTTTTTTAAATACCATTAAGAGTATCAAGAATACTTAAATTTTATTGTAATCTTATTTTTAAAAAAATATTTATGTATAATAAATTTTTAATATAATAATCTGTATAAAATTTATACATTTCAAATTTATTTTATTGTGTACTATCATTAAAATAAATATATGGTTAAATAATAAGATGCTATATATATAGTATTTTAATAATAAAATCTATAATGAAATTTAAATAAATTTTTTTAAAATCATTTCATGATTAAGTTTTTATATGTTTAAAATAATTATATATTAATTCATTCTATACCTTCAAATGTTTTTTCAAGTTTGAGCTACTTGACATTGACGTTGAAATATTTGCGTTGGGACATAATATACATTTACAAAGTGTAGACTTGGTGCCATTGATTTTCTTAATTGGTTTAAAATATAATTCAAATTGGGGCCATGGAAGGGTTAAATCTTCTTCATCTGAAGAAGTAAGTATTGTGGACATAATATTCTTTTAAAATAAATTATAAATTAATTAATAATATCATTATATTTACTTTGAATTTTGATTGAATATTAATTTCGACTGATAATTTAACAACTAGAATTTAAAAAAAATGTTGGAAGTGGTTGATATGAATTAAAACTCGGCTTAAATTATTAATATTAAGAATTAAAAATAAATTAAAATAATTTTATAATACAATGTTTTTCTTTTTATTGATATTTTTTAAGAAAAAATATAAAGTAACGAGTAAAATAACGTTTTGCGTTACCGTTACTCAAAAAAAAGAAATGCGTTACCGTTACTCGTTACCTTTAGATAAAGGTAACGAATGGCGTTCCTTTTCTTCAAAAAACGACGTTACTTTTTTGACGTTACTTCACAGCACTATTAATATAAGAACATGTATTTTTATTTTAAAACTTACATTAGGCAATTGATATGAATTGTTTTGCAGATTTATTAACAATATTGAATGAATTAGAATTCCTTTATATTCTAAAATTAACTTTAATTCTATTTAAGGATTATATAATTTTAGGTATAAGTGTATTAATGTTCATATAATAATTTATTTTTAAAATAGACCTAAATCGGTATATCTTTGCCATCTATTATTTATTAAACGATTACTATATATTAATTTCAAATTCAAAATAATTAATGATATATATGTAGATTAATTATTTTATATTATGATATGCTGTACAACCATCCCATGATTAAACATTTCTACATTACAGATTTATACAATAAATTGATAATTATCTTTTATTATTGTATTTGTAATAACTTTTAATATTCACACTCATTTATTATTCAAATGTAAATTCAATTTTTTAAAAAAGTTTTCTTTTCTATTACTCATTTTCAGAAGATGAATGATATTAATTAAGGTGACATAGATGGTTTAAATAAACATGCTATGAAATTTTTTAAGATATGCCCTCCAAAAAATTAATGAATATTATCTTCTAAAAAAAAGAACATAACTTATCCAATTCTATGAATTCAGCCTGAAAAATGACGCGTTCAGTTTTCGACTAAATTGGAACCTAACAGAACTTTTTTTTTTACCACAAATTTGAGATTGATTTACTAATTTATCCAATATCAAATTTATATTTTTCATTTAAAAAAAATATAGTAAGGCCATTTTTTTAAAAAAGCAAATAATTTTTTTTAAACGGTTTTAGAAATCTCGTGACCCTTAAAAAGAATAACCTTAACACCGTGGCTGCCAATTATCCATTCTATTGTTGTATATGTGGTGGCGATGAAAATTTGACCCAATGTTATAAATGCCCCACATTAGTTCATCATCCTCAGTGCTCTGTTTCAATAGACGCTAAAAACATAAATAAAGATACTTTCTTATGCCATAAATGTAGCATAGACAAAGGTTTTTTTTATCAATGATTGTCATTTCTTGTTTTTCCTGTGTATTTTATATATTAATTTTTTTAAAACTTAAAATTAATTATTTTAACATTGTTTATCATTCGATTTGTTTGTCATATCCATAAATAAAATACCAGATAGTATGCTATCAAAATCATCCTTCGAAGAAATGGATATAGGAATACTATCTAATCAAAGTTCCTCCCAAATTTCCTTGAATGATGCGTCCGATACCACTTTTTCTATCACTCAGACCACCAATAACTTAGTCCTGAATAAAAGGGGCAGAGGTAGGGGGAGGGGGAGAAGCAACCTTAAAAGAGGCGCGTCTGGCGATATAGGTTCGTTTATATTATATATTATATTTGTCATGATTAATGTTGGAAATATTAATGTTCCTGTCTAATTACACTGTGTGACACGAAAAATGGGAGAAAATAAAAACAATTTTTGGTGCAGAATTTGACGCTGAGTTCGAATCCGTTTTCCAAATTTTCCCTACACGTTAAGTTTTAAAAATTACCGTAAAAAATGGTATAATTTAGGTCTTTATACGGATATATTTTAAAAAGTATCGAATAAAAATCCCTGAAAATTGGTGATAGTGTTAAACTTATATTTCTTTATAAATTTACTAATTTTTATAATTTTTTATTGATTGGTTTTTGAGAAAAATGGTAAAGAATTTCGTTTTGGGTCTTAAGTTTTCAATTTAAATTACTATCAAAATTATTAACTTTAGAAGATAAATTTTATATAATTTTGCTTCAAATATGCTCAAGATTATATATTAATTCTAATTATGTTTCAAAAGTACTCTATGCCATGAAAATTCAACCAAAATCTATAAATTAAAAAAGTTGGTAGATATTTTCGAACTTTTTAATTTGTACACTTTTATTAAATTTTCTCTGCATAAAGCATTTTTAAAGCAAAATTAAGGTAATATTTATCTTTTTTAGTTGTATTTAGTAATATTTTATGCATTTATGATCAATTTATACCAAAATCAGATATCTGTACCCACTTTTTTAATTTGTAATCGAACCTTTTTGAGCAAAATTCATTTAAATGCAATAATTGGTAATTTTTTCATATTATTTTTTAATATTTATCTTTTTTAGATGTATTTAAGAATATTTGTTTTTTTAATCAATTTATATCAAAATATATGATTTTCCAATGGAGTACCTTGAACCCATAGTATGGGCAATAAATAATAATACCAAATAACAAGTAGGAAGAAAGGAGAAGAATTATTTTTTTTCGTGCTTAATTTTCATTAACATTTAATTTCTTTCATTAATTTTTTTTTTAAATTGGATTTTAAATATTATTCAAATTCCCTCCTTATATAATATTCTACAAAAAATTAATGCCGAGGTCCCCTTGTTTAAAGTGTGTCTCTAAATTTTGTTACATCTCTACGAGCTATATATTGCCCGCACAAAAATGTCCAATTTCTCCAATCATTCAAAGGATTTATGGAATTTATTACAATATTCCACTCTACGATTTGATAAACCATTTTGCCCCTAATTACATATTTAAAACATGTTATAATTCTTTTAATTCATGGGTAAATGGAAAACGGTCATATTTGCCTTATTCGAAACCTGCATTTTGGCACGTAGCAAGAAATCGTTTGTGGGATTGTTATTTTTGCTCGATTAGTACATTTGGGTTTAACAAAAAAAAATAAGAAAAAAATTCGTTATCCTGAAATTTCGTCAGTTGTTTATCCGGTAAAATATAATATGCATACAACAGTTCCTTTTTCTAATAGTTCGCAACTGGAAAAATTACGTTGCCAGGACAATGACAATATTGATCTTGAATATCATCCCGAAGAGGATTCGCCATTTATGTCACAAGAGCAACTAAATGACAACCAGAAATTTACAACTTTCAAAAAGAAAGTCCGAATTTTTAGCCTCAAGGCTTTATGATTTTAAAATTTAAAAAAATGGAGTTCGAACTTCATACTGATTCGGTGGAGCATCGTTTAAAAATTTATTCTCTTACGAATTTTTTTTATACTATTCCAACAATCTAGGTCAACTTTTTTTACAACTTAATATTGAATTGGTGCCCGATGAATGGCGCTTGTTCATCTATTCAAGCAAAAACAGTTTGAAAGCAGTTTTGTTTCATAACGGAAATTTTAAGCCATCAATTCCCATCGTCTATTCCAACCAGTTAAATGAATCATATGAAAATATGAAATATTTATTGTATTTAAATATGAGAAATATAACTATTTCATTTGAAATAAATTGTTTGGGAATCGTACCGTGTGCAGTGTAGCGAAGAGAACGAAAGCCACAAATAATAAATATATTAAATATAAGCTATATTAAAAAAGATTTTATAAATAAAGGTAAATTTAAAAAATATAGGTTGTTTAAAAATTGAATAAGGATTTTATAAAAAAAAATGTATAATAATAATAAGGAAGGTTTGCTGCAAAAATTAAGATATGTTTTTAGTTGTAGGGATCAGAACCGAAGTTATAAACCTTCAAAAAGTGCTAAAAATGACCTTTTTGGCCACCTTAACCTAAAATAAATAAAAAACCTGACGTGCTAGAAAAAAACTGACAGCGGATTTAGAATATGCATATAAAAAACTGTCTTAAAACATGTTTATTTTATTTTTTCCCCAAAAATCAAGTCGAAATTGTGCTATTTTTGGATATTGACATTTATATTTAACTCCATAAGCGTTTTTGTTGACTGCTAAGTAAAATCCAACATATTCAAGAAATATTAAATTCAATTCTAAACAGAGACATGGAAAGGAACTTCTGAATACGTTGTTCCGGGAAGGGAACTTGTGGAAAAATTATGGAACGTGAAAGAAATGAGAACGGTGAGCCCAGGAATGTTCCCGGAATAGTTTTAAAAAGTCCCGAAAAATAATTTTAAAAATTTAATTTATTATATATAATGACTCATTCATTAATTTCGTTTTTTATTTTCTTAAGTCCAGTGGCTTGATTTTAAAAATTTAGATTATAAGAAAATTTTTTAAAATCATATTTGAAATAATTTTAACTTTTTTATTATAAAAGTAATGTTAGATAATAATAGTTTAAAATTTCATTACATAATATTGTTACTAGAGATCTGCATCTATTTTTTAAAAATAATTTTTGTTCAGGCTGAGTCGGGCCTAACTTTTTATTAAAAATTCTGGGCCTGGCCAGGTCGGGCCTTTTTTAATATGATATCATTACATTTTGTCAAATAAATTGATATATTTTAAAATCCTTGCAAGAAACAAGGCGCTAATATTTTTTATTTATAGAATATTTGTTTTACAATAAAAATATTAAATTTTTCTATATTTAGATAAATTCGGGTCAGGCCAGACTGGCAGATAATTTCATTTTTATAATTTTTTTTACTAGTGAATGGGTTGGGCCGGACAAATTTAAAAAAAAAAAATTCTGGCCGGTCCTGAGAAATTAGATCCGATGCATACTAATTGTTACTAAGTTGACACTCAAATTTATATTAACACTCCCTCACAAATATAAATAACAATTTTTTATAATTAATATTCCATATTGTAAAAATTCATATAATATATGATAAAGTAGAAATAAAATTAGAAATTTTTAGGAACCAAAACATGGAACAGAATATATTTTTTTGGCTGGAACAGGAACGGAATAAAAATGATATCCTTGGGTTCTTGTTTCTAAAATAAAATTTTAAATAAAATTATTAATAGCAAACCAAAAAAACCTTAGGGGCGGTATGAGTAGGGCCAAAATTACGCCATCCCCAAGACGACTTTTAAAATCTTCAAATGCTGCATCACCTGATAGCTCCGCGACACTTACTAATAATGTAAATCCTATCGACTATAACGATATTGCTAGTACCCATTATCATGAACATGAACTCAATGGTATTTTTTAAAAATGTTTTTATTAATTATTATTTTTGTTTATCTCCCTTTGGTTTGGATAATATGAGTTATGATATTCATAAATTATAAGAAGCACTGATTATATAGAAATATTTAAGCAATTTCAGAGACCTGCAGAGGTACCAAGCCCAGGCTGGTCTTGTAAAAAAATATATATCAATTTGACATAGTAACTTATGAAATTATCTGCTTTATTCTAAAAAGTATTTTTAATTTAATACCAAAGAAAAGGATTACATTTGTGTTCATTGCAAAATATATTTTATTTTATAATGTGGTATTTTTGATTAACTAATAATAAAAATTATAATATTTAGTCTCTAAATTAACTATTATATTTATCTAAGGATATATGCATATTAAAGTATTTGGTTATATTTTAAGTTATTTTTTATGTTTTATAAAATTTGATATCTATATAAAAAATAACCTGTAGTATTATTTCGATTTGGTTATTATATTGTATTTGTTTACGTAATAAATTTTTTCTTTATTATAGCTTATGTAATTTTTGACTAAAAATGAAAATTATAAATTATTTTTGTAAGTATTTTATTTATCTAGTATAGTAGAGTATATATGCACAAATTAAAATTGTTTGATTTGACTAAAATAATTAGTAAATAAACTATTTTACTTCTCCTTTATAAACTAGTAAGTATTTTCTACCTAGAGATATAAATGGCTTTAATGGAAATAGTATATATTAGAAGTGAAGAGAGTGATATATTATTTCTAAGATACAATTTTTAAATATATTATAATAGTAGAGTTTTAAAATATTTGACTTGGCTAGGGTTTATAAAAAAAATTTCAGGCCAGCCTTGCTTGGGTTGTTAAAAAAAAATTTTTGAAGGCATGGCCTGGCTTTATTTTATTTAAAAACTCGAGCCGTGCAGGTATCTGGTCCATATAAAGTGCCTCGATATTTCAAAAACTTAATTTCACCTTTTTCTTAAAAATATTAATAATGCTTAAATGTTCATCTAATTTATTTTTTAGCCTTCTACAGTAGATCTGGTCGTAAAATAAAACGTACATCAAAATACGAGGATTCTATACAAGATCTGATCAGTATAGAAGATCCACAACAACTCCTTCAAATGCCACAAACTTTATCAAATTCTGCTAACTTTCATCACACAAATAGTTTAACTAAACCTTTCGTTTCTATTTAGAATGTTCAAATAATAATATATTTTTAAAACGTTAATGAAAGCAAATTAAATATTTGTTGAATTTCGGTGTTTTTGTTATAATTAGCAAGATAAATATATTCAATATAAATATAATAATACCTTTAAAGATTCAATTTTATTACTCCAATTTTATTAATCCAATCTTGTTAATCCAAATTATGTAAAAAAAAATTAAATATAATGAATGAATTATCGATTCACAAAATACGGGTTTTTATATGTTAATGAAAAAAATTAATATTCAAAAAAAATTTTAAACGCAAAATTAAAATAAACAATAGTATTCTCCGTACATTCAAGTTCGTTAAGGATAATTTTTATATTCATCTCTCATTTTAATATTAAATAATAAAATAAAAAAAAACTATTGTTTTTCATTACTTTAACAATATTGTATCTCTTTTGCCGATTATTTTTTAATTTAACTAAAAATTTTAAAAATATTGTATTTACTCCGATTTTGAGCAGAGTTTTTTTGGTTATTATTATACTGGAAAAATCTCCTTTTCCCCAAGAATTGAAATAATTGGTTATTTTATTATTTAGGACATAATTTTTTATATAATCAATGATTTTAATACTTATTTATCACATTTGTTTAATATGTGGCATTTTCGCAGTAAATTTATCCAGTGGCAAAAGGGGTCGTAAGAGAAAATCAATTAACGATACCTCTGAGAATCCTCTAATTAATAATAAAACCCCTAACCTACCTGATTTTAATGTTCAAGATACGCTTAGAAAACCTTCCATCGTAATTAACTCCATATCATCGTTTCAGCTGGTAAAATCTATTAATTAATTAATTGATTCATAAAAATATTCATAAAATTTTTAATTTTACAATTAGATCAGATTTAAATTACAATTCGTTCAAATTAGTTTTCCTCTAATATTGATTGCTAAGCTCATTTTAAAAAATTCATGCTGAAAAAAATATCTAACCTTATATATTAAAATGGACTAAATATAAATATCAGAGACCTGCAGAGGTACCATTTGCACGGCCCGGCCCGGTATTAAATTTTTTAGGCCTGGCCTGGCCTGGCCCGGATATTTTTTAAAAAATTTTTTACAGCCCGACCTTGAAGGCCCGGCCTGGATTTAAAAATTTAATGCCCGGCCCGGCCCAGATATTTTAAAAAAAAATTTTTTACGACCCGACCCAGCCCGGATTTAAAAAATTAAGTCCCGGCCAGGATATTTTTTAAAAAAAAAATTTTAGGCCCGGCTCGGAATTTTTTAAAATTATATTCGACCTGGTATATACAAAAATTCACCTATGAGGTATTTTACCATATTTTTCAGCGAGTATTATTGCTTATTATTTAAAAAATACATGTAAAAAGCTAATATTTTGAGAATATTATATTGAATTTATAAAAATTATAAAACTGTTATTTATAAAAATGGATATTTTGAGCATATACTATATTTTATATTGCATTTATAAAAATAAAACTAATATTCATAAAAATGGTAATAATATTTTAAGCATATACTATATTTTATATTGCATTTAAAAAAAATAAAACTAATATTTAATTTATAAAAATGGAAAATATTTTGAGAATATAATATATTGTATTTAATTTATAAAATAAAAATAAATACTATTTAAAAAAATGCATGTATAATAAATAGTATTTTGAAAATATAATCTAATTGCACAATATTAATAGAATTTATTTTATAATATAAATTTTTAACAAAAGAAGATAATTGTATTATATAATATTGTAAAAAAGAATAATGAAAAATGTTGGATTAAAAACTTTCATGACTCAAGGTAAATATAATAAATGCAATAAATATTTGACAGTTTGCAAAGTAAACAACCAGCATGATTGACGAAACCCTATATTCAAGAAAGATATTAAAAATTCACAAATTATCATGAAGAAAGAGAAGTATATCTACCTTTTCAGGTTGAAGATTACTTCTTCTTTCTTCAAGAATTCTCGTAGTGGAAAAATTCCGCTCACAGCTTGCACTTGAAGCAGGAATTGCCAATTTTGCTAAAATTGGAAATTCGCTTTAGTGAGCCGCCCACCACTCTAACAAATTATCCACCTTAAATGTTTCATCTATTTTTTTATTTATGTAATTATAATATTCATCATCGGGTATTGACATATTACCAGAATTACCATCGCCCCATTTGTCATAAAACGATTCAGTTTGTTTAACAACAGTCGTAATTTGACTGGTCGATGGTATTTCATTTACTTCCTGAGCCTCTTGTAATTTAATATAATCTTTTATATAGTTTTCCGTCATCTTGCGATCTGTCCCTGACTACATACGTAATTGCTTGAATTTGGGACAGAGAAAAAGAGAAATAAAATGATACTTGTGTAAAACAAATTTTTCAATTAAAAAATGCTTTATATTAAGTAAGATCAATTTTATTTCTCCTTTTTCGCTTTGAAAGGTATTACAAACTTCAAGAAGTGATATTCCTTTATTTGATTGTTTTGGTAAAATATATTCTAAAAATTTAGATATGTATTATAAAAAAATATATTAATAATACTTGAATATTGGGGCTTATTTAAGATATTCCTTTATTTGATTGTTTTGGTAAAATATGTTGTAAAAATTTAGATATGAATTATAAAAAAATATATTAATACTTTGAATAAATTTGCAGGAAATTAATAATTAGATCGATCTGTGGGTGTTAGGTAGTGTTAACCATCACTCAATATATTATTTTAATCATAACTGTAATATAATATAATCTTATAACCATTAACTCATAATGTAAAAATTTTTATAAAAAATATTAAGGCCCGGCCCGGCTCGGCCCGGGTTTAACAATCTTAGGCCCGGCCCGGATATATTAAAAAAAATTTTTTTTAGGCCCAGCCTGGCCCGGATATGTTTATAAAAAAATTTTTTTTAGGCCCGGCCAGGGTATATTTAAAATACGTCCGGGTATAGGGCCGGGCCTGCAGGTCTCTGATAAATTTAAAGTATATATATATTTAAACAAATATTGTTTAAAATTTATTATAGTATAAGCCATCGTTTTAATAAAAAAATATTTTATCAATATTTTTTCCAGATAAATTCATGTGAAACCCAGCACACACCCTCTGATAATTCTCAATCTCGCCTTATTCAAAATACTGAATTTAAAGTCGTTAACGGCATGAATGATGAAGATGTAAGCGATAATGGAGAAGACTTGAATGACGAATCTGATAAACTTGAAAATCGTGGTAAAAAAGGAAGATGAAATATATTGCATTTTAACTATACATGACCTAATTTTCTATATCTTCGAAATTTATTTTGCGTGCCTATATATATTTCTGGAATTTGTGGATATGGAATCTTTTTATCTTAAATCATCTTCGAGAACGATTAAATTAAAAAATATTTTATCCAAAATATATTCCAGCATAAATAGAATATACCCCTCTCCCAGACAATTTTCCCATGAACTTTTGAACTATAAAAATTGTATATCATATGTTGTAATACATTTTTAGCAAAATTAGATTTTTCAAATTTAAATATTAGCCTCAGGTTTTATTAAAAATCAGACGTGTAGATTTATAATTGAAAGATTCATAAACCCTATTGATTCCATATTCTACTATACGACATAATCTACTACAAAAATATATTTATTTACTTTTTCCAACTCAAGACTCGGCTAGCAATGTTAACAGTAATTCCTCGACATTTTCTCGATCACAAACCAATGGATTTAATCGAGAACAAAAACATAGAGAAGAAATCATTCAATCATTAAAAAAACATCCTGATAGTTGGCCTTTTCTCAAACCCGTTAGCAAAATTAAAGTAATGGTTTAATTATATCAGTTAGTAATTGACTTTAAAATCAACTATTATATAAATTTGAAACTGTTTATTTTTTTTATTAATTACTACATTTCATTTTCACAATATTATTTTTAAATATCATCACTATAATTCCTTTTTATTGCCTGAAAAAGGTTCCCGATTACTATGTCATAATCAAGAAGCCCATGGACCTGGGAACTCTCAAATCCAGAGTGGATAGCATTTATTACCAAGATATGGCATCTTTCTTATCCGATTTGCGGCTAGTATTTACGAATTCCTGGCTTTACAATAGCGAAGATGCCCCTGAATACAAAGCGGCTTTAGGATTGGAAAAATTTCTGAAATATCATCTCAAATGTTTATGTCTTATTCAACATTACCCTTCTTCTGAATCAGACATCCACCGAAATGCCACGGATAATTTGAAAGAAAAGATAGAAGATTCATCATTGATTAATGGGAATTTATGATGAGTGCATAGTTGTGTTTTTTTTGGCTTAAGAGTTAATGATAAATAATTATATCGTAAAATGTTGATAAATATTTGTTTCATATTTGCAATCATTATAGTAAATATATATTTAAAGATAAATTGTCATCATATTGAATTACGTTTCAAAAGAATAGTGTTTAAGCACACGTATTATTAATATTTCAATTTTTAAAATACTATTATAATTTTTTTTATTTTTAAATCTAAAATAAAAGGTTTCAATGCATATCAAAAAAATTAAATTCGAAAGATACATATTATGATATGTGAATGTTCGTTAATTTAAATATTACTCTAAATAATCTGGTCCAGATTTTTTTTAAAAAGATTTTCGGTTTTGCTCTGGTTTTATATTTTCAGATCTGGCCCAGTTATTTTTAAAAAAACTTTTCGGCCCTGCCTGGATTTTTAAAAATATACATTTATATTTAATTTTTATAAATAATAATGGCGATTTAAAATATTTACATTTGAAATATATGTCCTTGCCTAGGTATTTTTTTTTTTTAAAAATTTAGGCTGGCCCGGGATTTAAAAAATAATTTCTTAGGCCTGGCCTAGATATATTTAAAATATATAAAATACGGCCCGATCCGTGTTTCTTTATTTTTCTAATTATGATTTAAATATTGAGCCTGGAGTGAGTTAACTTAATCCTACTAATATTTTGATGCTACCTCTTAAATACGGATGGCTGTTAAAAAACTCTCCTAATAAATATGACAAGTTTTTATTTGCATAAGTTTGATAAATTTTTTAATGATTTTCAGAGATGTACCGATACTTTTAATATTTTTATTACATACGGAATATAATACTAGAAAAAGCATATTGATAATGAGAGGGCCTGAGAACTATATCAGAAACAAGGTTAAGAATTTAGGAATTGATAGATGGCGTAGAGGCAGACTCAAATTATTAAACCCACAAAATATACTTTTTCCAATAATATGACTTTGCGATTACCTAATTTCTTCCAAAAATAACGTTATAGCCACTATTTTTTAAATGTAGCATAATCACTAATAAAAATTTTTTTTTTATTAATAATAATAAATAGAACATTATAGTCCTAATTAGAGAACTGCAAAGTAATTTTTTCGCAACCCGAGCCCGAATTTAAAATTTTTTTTGTCCGAGCCCGAGCACACATTTTTTAATCCGACCCGACCCCAGCCCGACCCGAATAAAATTCTGCAATTTAAGTTTTAATATTATAATAACCAAAAAAAAATTTTGACGGCCATAATCTATTCAAGATATATATTAAGTTGCATTTTATTAAATTTGTAAAAAATATTATAAAACGATTAATATACAAGCGAATTTAAAAATTATAACGATTATATAATAAGCATCATTTATGCGAATATAGATATGATGTAAAAGTTAATAAATATATAAAAAATATAATGAACATATTATATTATATATTGACCTCATCAATATCATTATCAAAATTATCACAAAGTGAATAATTATGATATATAAATATAGAGGCGTCCAGTTTATCTGGCTTTAAACGAGTCCTTCTCTCCTCAAAGGTCCTACCAGCAGCTGAAAACGCCCTTTCACTGCTAGCCGACGAAGCAGGGATAGCCAGGAATTTAAGAGCTAAAATACTTAAATTTGGAAACTCTTAATGGTTTGTTTTCCACCATTTTAAAATATTATCGTCATCAACACATAATTTCGGATTTAGATATTTTTTTAGCTCGTCAACTTCGGCGCTAGCATCAGAATACGCATCGTCAGCCTCCCATAGAGAGAAGTCCAAAAACGTATCTACCACCTCTGTAGTTTCTTAAGAAAAAAATATTCAATAATAATATTAAGATATATATTTACATTATTATTTTTTAATAATTTTACATATATGATGATTAATATTTTTTTTGATATATGATATTTTTTTATAAAATTTATGTAATTATCATTATTCAACATTGATTTAATAAAATTTGAATTTTATTTATAAAATAATTAAAGGAAGTACTGAAAAAGAAAATTTTATTTCAGTAATTTTAGGAAAATTTGTCTAACTTTTTTTTGGAAGTAAATATTAATCTAAGATTTTGTATTTATTATCTCCAATATTTTTTAAATATATACTCAAAATTTTAGATCTCAATTTTTAATATGTTTTGAGATATATCTAATCAAAATTTGGGGTAAAATAGACCCCACCTTTGTAGTTAAGGGAGTTTTTTCTACCTTTGTAGTGAAGGGTTAAAACAAATGTTAAAAAAGACAATGTATAGGCTAGATAAATAATAAATAAAACTTACATAAAATATGTCTTATCTTGTAATTTACGAGAAACACAATTTAGTAATAAAATAGTTTGGTATCCGGTTGTTAGGTTTATAAAATAATAATTAATAATGACATGACATGTTAATATGATTGACATTTTAATCCTAAAATGTGATAAATATTAAATAATATGATTTTATAATTAATATTATAAATTATACTAACTATTTAAGATATTAATATTATTATATATATTTTCGGGTCGGGTCGGGTTTTCGGGTCGGACAGCTTTTACAACCCGACCCGAACCCGAGAAATTTTTTTTTGATGTCCGAACCCGACCCGAGCCCGAGGCTCGGGTTGGGTCGGGCTACGGACAGCCCGTGCAGTTCTCTAGTCCTAATTATATATTTTTTCAAATATTTGCAATAGAAATTTTTATTAAAATTTGAAATAAAAATTCTAAAAACAATAAAATTTCATAATAAAGGTTATATAATATGTATATTATTCAAACTTGTACTAGATTTTAAAGGAAGATACCTCGATAAACGTTCTAGATAAGAACATCTTTTCTCCCAAAAACTTCACTCGCCAAACTAAATAGCAGGTGTATCCAGGAGGAGGGTGGAGGTTGGCTGGGAAAAATAACCCCTACGGAAATTTGAATGTTCTAGCAAATATCATTCTAAGCTAATAACCTCAAGGATAAAATATATTACTAATTTGAAAGAAAAATTATAGCCTTTTTATAAAATAAGTGAAAACCAAACTGAAATTCTGACATGTTGTTTTGGTATTGTTAATTATTTAGTTGTAGATTTTCAAGTTGATTCTTGTTGTACTGTAAATGTTACCAATATTTTTTAAATATGATACACGAATCCTTTAAAAAATAGGGTGTTATGCTTAAATATTATTTTAAAATTTTTCAAATAAAAATATATATTGATTGTTATCAATATTTGATCAATATCAGTCCTCTTTAAATTTAAAGAGTCTCATCTATTAGAACTCCTTCTTATAAAATATAATATCTATCTCATCCAGTTCTCCCATTAAAAGCATAAGCGCAGCCAAGATTTTACCAAGGAGAGGGGAGCATCAATATGTAGCCCATAAATTTTTTTGGATAACATTAGTCCGCTTATTGTGCCTTTAGCTCACACATTAAATATATTAATTTAAACTAATATATAATATATTTTAATTTGTAGGATGATTAACACTCATGACAATGAGAAAAGAGATGGTGAAACTTAAATGATAGAAATAAGTTACCCTGTGTTACATTATAGGAATTAATAAATTAAAATATTGGTTATTGAATAGTAATATATTTTAATTTATATTGCATACATTCATTATATTTTTATTTGGTTAGGAATTCGGGAGGGCCTCCTTTGATCGTATTATTTTGATCGTAAAATGGTCCATTTGGTCCATTTTAGGTCAAAATGAACGATTTTTTCATTCATATGAATTTATAGGTTAGGGTTAGGGTATTCATTTCTTCTTTTAACAAATAGTCTTAAATTATCAGCTACAGTATTAAGCATAATGTTTTTAAATGATTTTAATTTACCGCGATTAAATAGACCAATCAGAAAAAAATGGACCAAATTTACGATCAAATGACTTTACGATCAAAGTTAGGCAAATCAGGATTTAAATTCAACTTGTATTACTTTTTATGAATTCAAATTTATCTTTTCAATTCAACTTTTTATTTTTGTAATTCAACTTATATTACTTATTATTTTTCGTAACCTTACTTTTTGTTTTTATATATATTCTAATTTATATTTATAGAAAATATATATATATCTTAAGAAAAGAGAAAGAAGTTAGTTGATAAAATATATTTTCACTGACTCGCACCTAGCGCCATATCGTTAGTGTCCTTATTCTTTTCACCCTGAATCAAATTCAATTTTAAAATTTTAGATGGAATTATTTAATAAATTATCTAGCATAGAAGATTTGAGCTAAAAATGGATCTGCATATTAATTTTCTTGAGAACTTTAGTAATTGTTGTTCAGGGGCGTCACTAGTTTTTACAATCAAGGAGACCCAAAGAAAATATTTTCAAAATGACCTATTTTTTTAAAAAGACTTTTTTTTAAAGATAACCTTTTCAAAATGACTTTCCTTTTTTAAGTACAAAAATGAATTTAAATTTTCAGGGGCCTTCTCAAATTTTTAAGGGGCTCGAGCTCCCCTCCCCTTAAGGAAATTATTGATGGATGTTGGTTTCTTACCTAAAGTATTTAAAAAAAGGATCTCTGAAGATACAATCCTATGCATTTGGACAGAGGCTAATCGGGTTGAGAAATATAGAGCACCTGTATGGCTCTTTTGCATTTTATATAGTTTTTTTGAATATATTTTTTAAAATAGTTTTTACATCACGATTCATTTGCAAGAAACCAAAAATATATTGAGGTAAATTAATTAAATTGCATTTTTATTTTATTCATAATATATCTTATTAGCATTTTTCAGCATATTTAACTAACAAGAAGCCTAAAATTTTCGATTATTCATTATTTAATTTTGATACAAGATCTTCCAAATCATTTTAGCTTAATATTGTATTCTAGATATTAAATAGACAAAATTGCCTTGCTCATAAATTATTCCTCCGTTTTAATTTATAAACCACAAATATTTTCGGTTTTTTATACCATTCAATCAAAATAAAAGCACCTATGTTTATATTAGACACAGTATTATCACGATAACATATCATATGTTAATTTCAAAAAAATCGGAATGTTGCATTATTATCCAATTATATCGGAGATACAAAGAATATATGTCTATGAAACTTATACGGTTGTTATTATAATACTAATTTATAAATAAAACTTTAGAGATTATATTTAATCGGATCCGATTATAAAGAAACCAAATTTCGTATTTTAAAAATTGACAGAACTGAAGAAAAGGATTTAATAATTCATGAGGAGGAGGTTATATATTTATTGAATCATGGAATATTTTATTAATAGGTTTCTTATAATTTTGAAGAGATTAAGGAATTACTTCAGATGGTGGATTTAGGAAATAGAACTAAAGTAGCTCTAAAAAATCAAAACAAACTCTCAAAAAATATATCAGCATTTGGAATTATAGGTTTAATTATATAAAAAAAACCATTAATTTATATGTTTCTTAGGATTTGTGAAATTTCTTTTTGGCTATTATGTTATATTAATAACTAAAAAAAATAAAGTTGGATTTATTGGCCACCACAACATATATAAGATTGAAGATACTTATATGTTGTATATACCTAACAATCAACAACCACTTCAAAATCCAGAAGAACAAAAGTTAATATTTGTAAAGTTTTAAATTAGCCCATTAAGGAGAGAGTATATAGGCCAGCATCAAAATAATAGTTTTAGAGTCTATTTCTACTCATTGCCAACAATCTCAATCATACTTATCAAAAAAAAAAATGTTTATAAAATTTGCATAAAAGTAAAATTACATACCTTAAATCTTATTTAAAATATGTTATGGGTATAAAGAATCCCCATGAACCAAGAATCCTTAAAAATCCACTAGTAAATATGCACATATATAAAAATTTTATGGATTCCTGTTCAGCTCTATAATATGATTTAGAAAATATTTTTTTTAATTTAAAAAAAAACTGATAAATTAAAAACATCTTTTTCATGACTAAAATAAGAATCCTTACTAATTATGGACATATAAAAAAATTAAAATGGATTCAAATTTATCTCTTCAATGTGATTAAGAAAATATAAAAATTATTTTTTAAATTAGTGGAATATTGAAAAAATACTATTTTTTTTGACTAAAAAAAAATCCCCAATTAAAAAGCCTCAAATTTAAAAAATAAAATATAAAATCATATGTAACTCTTTAAGAGGATTAAGAAAATATTAACACTAATTTTTTTTTAAAAATTTAAAATGTTGAAATAATATATATTTTTTTGAATAAAATAAGAATCCCCTATTAAAAAGCCTCAAATTTAAGAAATAAAATAAAATAACTTTTTTTTGACTATAAGAATCCATGATTATAATTTATAAATTTTACATAAGTATTAAAAATATTAATTGAATCATTATTTGAAATAGAAAAAATTATTAATGGAAGGCATATTTGTGAAGAATTTTTCCCAAAAAGGTATCTATTTCATGCATACATTTATTTGATGCATGTGGTTGATCCTGCAGGGCATTTAATCTTTCTTTTACCAGCAGATTTTGTGGCAGATTTATATAAGGCCAATTTAACTTAAATTTTGGGTGAATTAACTGTCATACAGTGAAGTAAATTTATATTAAAAAATGATAATTAATTTATTATTAAATAAGTGTGCATTCATATGAATCAGATATCTGTAAAACTCAGCTCTTTCAAATTTTACAGTCAGGCCTGTCCCATTATCTCTATAGTATATATATTTGGGTCATATCATAAATATTGATTAAATTTAATATTATATTTAGACTTAATATGCAAAGAAATGAGCATATTGTAATTTATTTAAATATATTAATCAAAATATTTGTTTAATAATCAAAAAATCCATTAAACTTTTTATGCCTGTGCTGGCCCATTAAAATTATACCAGATATCAGAGGATTCTGGCCTGCTAAAAATATTTTACTAAATTTGCCAAGATCATTGCAATTTTTTAATAGATATCAATCAATATATATAAAAATTTATTACCTGCTATAGGCCTTAATTTATCTATTAGAATGGTTAGAACTGGGGTTAGATATGTTCTATAATATCTTCCCATTCCAATGTCTTTAATGATGTTGCCAAGGGTTTCATAACTTTAATATTTAAATTCTAGTTATTAAAAATATTGTATTACTGATGCATATTCTTTCATAAAGAAACATTCCTCTTGCCTAAACATTGTTTATTCAATTTGATTACAAAATTCTACTTCTGAAAACTTTTCGGACAGCATCTTATCCATTAATTCCATTGACTGGGATATCATTTTTTTTCCTTCTCTGCATCTGTGGTTGCAACTAGGTTCAGATTATGACAACAACAACATTGATGAGGCTAATAGTAAAATTACGCTGTTAACCCTAGGGTAACTTTTTCTAAATATCAATATAAATCACGTGATTATCGGAATCTATGAGTCGTTTATTTGGGTCACAACAGATTATATGTCATCCTAATAATTAATTTCAAATCCTCACTATCTTTTTCATTTTTTCCATAAACTCTTGAAAAAATATATAATTTATTTTAGATAATTTTTTTGTTAAATATAAATATTACTTAAATGCCTTTACAAAGTTGGTGCCATTGTCAGTCCATAATCATTACCTTATAAATTTTATAAGTCTTGTAAATATTCATAATTTCCTTAGCCAAAACATCATACGTTTGCTTTCCAACTATGCGCCTCAGTGCCAAGGCTGCTGAGCTTCTCTTGAGAGTTAGTAGGTCCAGGCAATGGGCAGTAACTTCGAAAAAGCCCTAAAATAAAACATTATAAAATTAATATAAATATAATATACCATTGATGACCACACCAACAATCAGTAGTGGTGCATACAATGAGACTAGAGACAAATATCTTGTGTGATTTGTGGTCATATCTGTTAAGGCAATAGATATTTTGTTGCTTGGGGAAAATATTTTAATCATTTACTCAAATCAAGGAACATCAACTAGTGATAGTGGTTTGAAGGTGCCAATAATAAATTCCATTATAAACTTGTCAGATGTTTTTTGTGATATTGCTGGCAAGCAATTTAATTTTGTTTGTTTAGATTTGCAATCACTTTGGTTTCGCAGAGATTTTTTTGTTTTTTTAGAGAATTTATTTATGTGTTTGGCAATGTAATTTTTGAATTCACTATGTTTTCTCTTTATAGTATGTATTAATAAATATGTCGACATTTAGATTAACAAATAAAAGAAATTTAGAAATAATTAATTGCTTCTAAATAAATGCCTTTAGAGATTTTAACTACTAACCTTTGAAGAACATTTTCTAAATCATTTCGAAGAGCTGCCCATATTTCTATATTTATAAAATTAGGATATAATTAGTGATAATTTGTTTAGTCACGGGAAAAGGTTTTTTTGATACTTTATTAATTTACCATTTTTAAAAAATAAGTATATAAATAAAATGATAAAACCTACTAATAAATTATTTTCTTTATTGCACTTAGAAAATGTGGTTCCTGTAGTACTAATGCCCATTTTTTAGAAAATATCTTATTGACATTCTTCATGAAATAATCAACAGTCATATCATCAATCTTACCAAAAGAATCTGTTACTCTAGGTATTGCTATATTTAAAAGATTACCATGGAAATTCTTAATATCCAAAATTTATTCTGACATTTTTTTGCTTGGTTGTTCTACTTAATTGGTATTATTAATGACAAAAATACTTTTAATTCTGTGAGGCCTTTCATTATGAATCCCTTGAATTATTTGGGGTTGAATATCTTTTGTGTTTAAATATTATTGTTAAGATTGATATTTGAGATTTTTTTATACCATTAGCTCACATTGTTTTCATTTAATATTATAATTATAGCTCTTTCTTTCTTGATTTAAAAAAATATCTTCTTATTTTTGAACAGGTTAACAAGGATACTTTGCTGATGGAGAGTAAAGTATATATTTAGTACTTTCATCTTATTTGTAGTGTAACTCTTATAAAATAAAGTATTTTAGTATTAAAATAAAATATAGTAAATAATCATATATTTCTCTTTATTTTGATGACGGGTGAATCAGAAATTTCCCCTTTACTTGATAATGGATGAATCAAAAATTAGCTTATTTTATGAGGTGTGAATCAGAAATTCATCGTTACTTTGATTGGTTTATTAAAATTATTATTATTATTTTTATACAATATGTTAATGAAGTGTATATTTAGTACTATCTTCAATATGAACAAATAATTAAAACATATATGTGAATCAGTGTTCGACAAATGGCAAAAATCTCAGGCCCGGCCCAGTGAGAATTTAATGCCCAGTCCGGCCAAATTTTTTCCCGGCCATGCCTAGTTTCAGTTTTTTTTACTAAAGTTTCCCACCGGGTTTTTGAAATTTTTTAAATACAGGGCCTATATTTGTTGTTGAACCAAAATAAACAACTATTTATAACTTGAGGAGGTTAAATTAAAAACATTAAACTTTATGGATTATATTCTATGAAATATCAGAATTCATCATATATATATAAATTTTCTGCATTACCTTGCCAATTTATTTTTTTGCCTGGCTCGGCTCAAAAAAAATTTTCGGGCCCGGTATTGCAGACGATTGATGTGAATATACTTTCTTCAATATATCGATTACATGATATATGAAAATGGCTATAATATTTTTAAATGCATTTTTATAAATTTATATTTAATTATTTATGATCAAATAATTTAATCTTGCTAGATTTGTAGGGCCATACTTCTGTTTAGTATATTTAATTATTTTTGAAAATATGCTTCTTTACATCATTTTGCATCTTATATTCTTTAATTCAATTTTTTATAAATTAAGGCCTTTCCCAAAATACTCTGCAAAAACCCTTATGCAATAATAAATTAAAAATAAAAAGGTAAAAAAATGTAGGCGAAAAGATTTTTTTATTCGGCATATAAATACAAATTTTTTAGATATTATGAAATTGCTAGTCAACATGACCTACCTCTTAATGCTTCATTCCCCTTAATATTTTTAGAAAAAGAAAGAATATATTAAATACTATAAAAATATTGATGACATAATATTTTAAAAATGAATACTGAGTTTGGCATTCAGAGTAGAGAAATTCAGATCTAAGTAATTTGGCAATAAATTTCTACGAAGGTATGCCAATGCGGCTACAAATACGAATGTGTTTAAAATCTATAACCGTTAAGTCATAAAGTATAAACGCTTATTATATATATTTTTTTAGAATTCTTCTTTCATATCTTTGTTTTTTTTAAAATTGTTTCTTCCTTCTATTTCCCTCTTTTTGCTCCCCTAAAATCCATCTCCCACTATCACGCAATGGGAAGCGAACAGCAATGCTGACTAACAGGAACTCTGGGGCTCATATATTTTCGACGATGTATTTTTTTTACCTCATACCTCTGAGCAAAGTGCCATTCTTTCTCTGTATGGACAATGTATAAATATCTCAAGCAGGATTTCCCGGCTAAACCGAAGCATCAGGCAATTCTAATTCTTATATTTTCATTATCTTGGCCTTATATTATAGTTTTTAGATATATAATGAATATTTATATTCTATTAAATATGCAAGTTTTGTAGGGCAATAATAAATTGTCAGGGGTATGCAATAAAAAATATAGTAAGCAAAATTGATATTAAATTTTTTCGGTCATAAATTACAATAAAGAAGTAAGAATGTGTAGACCAAAAATTTCTGATTTATCCATGCAAACAAAGTAGAAATATCTAATTTACCCGCCATTCTTGACGTGTTATCTGCTAGTAAATATTTAAATTTATTGTTCACTTTCTATATGATTTCCTAAATTTAAAATTACTGCTTATTAAATAAAATATAATGTCACATTTATATCAAATACCCTTGTAGAAGTTTAACGAAATCTTGCTAGTATTGAAAATTGTTAATTGTTAAAAAAGTCTTATAAAAATATATTAAATCAAGATTTTTATGAAAAGTATTTTAATTTATATACTTTTGGGTGCAAATAAATATTTTTTTCAATGCAAATAATTTTTTATATTTAACCTTTATTTTAACTTGTAAATGTAACTAGTTAACACTAAAAAATAGATATTAATATTATTTCAGTTAATCAGTTTAACTTTAGTTTATAAATTTAAAAAGTTGACACTAATTTGCTTAAAATTGATAGGATAAGTATTTTACATATAGTAGAAAGCATTTTCGAAAAATCAGATTTTTAAATTTAAAAATGCACATAGCAAATTACTCCTATTTTATAAAAGATATTATACATTTTGCTCAATTTTTCCGATATCACATATTCATATTTAACAAATTTTCAAGGAAAAAGATAATCTAACCATGCGAATGATTATTTTTCTTAATCCTGTCTAATCATGAATTTACTCACTGATCATTAAAATAAGGCCATGCAGGGGACTCCGAGGGGCCCCAAAATCAGTATTTTAAGGAAGATTTGCTCCACTAGTTTATATGCCCAGTATGCTCCAGATTTGCCCTGAAATTTTAGTGGTTTTCACTCAGTTTTTTTTTAAGAAATATATTAATTGTTTAGATGTATATTTTATAAAAATTTTAAGATAAAGTGAAAATGTTATTTAAAATAATAAAATAGATTTGTCAAAATGTTTCAAACAATAGATTTATCTAGCAATTTTTACTTCAGTTACAGCTATGATCTGACACATTCACTTCAATACAATTTTTCAATATTAAAACAAAAAGAATTTTTTGAGAGACTAATTGAAAAAGATGCTGCCAAACTTAATAATAAAAGTAAAGAATTTTAATAGATTAATTTATTCATAATAATTGAAGTTTCAATGGTATTAATAATCTTTAATTTTTTTAAATTTAATTTTGAATTGTGCACTAGATAAGATCGTAATTATTATAATAAGATAGAATCTTGATTTGCAAATTTTATGTTTCTTTCTTCAAACTTTCTTTTTTTTGGCAAACTATTATTTTTATTATTATAAATTAACAGATGTAATTGGATATAAAGTTAAGCCATGTTGGCAATATGTTTGGAATAGACATTTATTAACACCATGGCATCACAAGGTTCATTTTGACTGGTGTATTCATATCATTCATGGGTTTTTAAAGCAAACCATCATATCTGTTTTTGGTCAAGATATTGTTCTAACTCTCCTAGCAAGAAGTTTTATATTCACATCAATTTATTCAATATCTTATATTTCTATTTAAAAAAAGGGTCAAGTTTTTATGCCGGAACTCGATACCTGAAAAGAGGAATATCCTTGATAGGAGGTTACACTGCAAATTCGGTCGAGACTGAACAAATATTAGAAAATTTAGCTGAAAGCATGTCGTACTCATCATACGTGCAATTTCGTGGATCAATACCCACGTTTTGGTGCCAGGTCTACATCGGAAATTATAACATTTTAATATAATTTTTTCTATTCGGGTGATATGCTAAACGCATGCATGATGTACATTCTGCTGTTGTTGCAAGGGTCAGACAGCATGGAAGAAGTTCAGAGAAATGTCTATTTTAACAAATAAAAACGTCTCTGATGTTAAATGAAAAAGTTTACGTAAGCTGTGTGCGGATTTATTTAGTTTATGGTGGCGAAACATCATGGGCTATGAAACAGCCCATGAAGAAGCCAAATTGGAAAAAACAGAGATGCGTATGATTAGATGGATGTGTGGGATATCTCTGAGAGAGAGAAAAACTAGCAAGGAATTGCTAGCAAGAATGGGTATAGAAGTGACTGGAGTGGTAATGCGGAGAAATAGACTAAGATGGTTTGGGTATGTGGAACGGGTAAAGAATGCACCTCGATGGAAGTAGGAGGATCAAAACCTAGAAGACGGTCCAAGATGACGTGGATAAAGGTGATAGCAGCGGATATGAGAAAAATGAATCTTATGAATATTGATGCTCAGGACCGTCAAAATCAGAGGGAAAATTGGCCAACTTTGGTAAACCTGGAAATCGCCATTAAACTGAGAAGATAAATTGATTAATGAAAATCACGGTTGGGGCTGTCCAATTCTCAATTCCTACAATCCGATTTATGTTAATTCTAAAAGTTCTCTTCCTAAATTCTATTTTTTTTTAGAATTCATTATCATATAATATTGATCTCAATCTTACTACAAACAATGTATAATCGAATTAAATCATATTAATAAAGCGTATTAGTAAAAATCGTGGTATTTCGAAAAATAATTTAAAAAAAATTTTTTTTAGTTCAAAATCACATATTTCCAAATTCTTTAATTTATTCAAACATTTAAATATCAATGATTATTATTAGTTCTAAGTCGATTTTGTTCTTTAAATTCTCTTATACTTGTTATAATTATACATGTGGAAATCTCCTTACCAATCATTTACCCAATAAATTTAAACTTATTTAATCTGCAACTCTTTTTTTCAATCTGAAATCCAACCTTATTCAATATGCAATCACATATTTGAAATAATCCTTTTAAAATACCAAATTTTGTTCATGATAATTTCTTTGTTTAACAGATCCATCTACCTAACCGTTTTAAGAATATTACAATAACTCAGTATTATAGCTTCGATTTTCCATTTTTTTATATGATAAAAATAAAGCAATTTAACATTGCATTTATATATACTTAAATAGTAAAGGAAAGTTAAAATTATTATTTAAGTTGATAGCCTTATAAAATAACATAAGTAGAAATTATATTATTAAGATACTTCCTAAGATATAAAACCCAGTATAAAAGAATCATAATTCTTGGGCCACCAAAAATCAATTGTAACTATTCTGGCTTATCATTTGTGTTGCGTTACTTCTCGTAATACTTTCCTAGCAGCAACAACACATAACGGTTTTAAAATTAGAAAAATTTCACTAGATCACACACACACACACCACAAACATCATGATCTAAATTATTTGTAAAATTAAAACCTCCCCATAACCAAATCCAGAATATCTAGAGGAATTAGGATTACATTGGTGAATTCCTGTCATAACATATTACTATTCCAAACAATAACCTAAATACATTGGATAATTGGAAAAATATCCTTTTAGCCATTCATATTTTCCAAACTCCTGTTAAAATTAAACAATTTATCTGCATACAAAAGGGAGAATTGCTGCAAATCCCTTTGCCCCAAAAACATATATCACAGCCCCATATCAGACAAGCAAAACAAAACTGATTTCAAAAAAATTAACACTGAATATTTTTGGACCCTAAAAATTTTATCAGCGATAAAACACTGTGCAAACTTTATCAACATCCTCTTGGTCACCCAAACACATTCATATCTTCCAAAGATAATCCCATTGACTTGACTGAAAAAAGGTACGAAACTCAATACTATTTTAAATATTACAAGTGGCCTTGATGAGATGAGGTCAATATAGCTCTAAAACCTTCTTAAACCCTTACTTTCCTCCGCATCACAAATTTAAATATTTAAAAAAATATTAATACTCCTAAAAGAGTCATTCTCTTTTTGGGAGGGAGCCAGGCTAATAGCTCTTCGGAAAAAGAAGGGGAGGGGTATTGTTGTTAAACGGCTCGATTTGAGCCGATTTTTAAAAACGGCTAACTCAATATTATAGTCCGAAAATATTGAGTATATCAAGATTTCGCAAATAGATGTTCTACCTTTGTGCCATCTATGACCAAAATCTTCAGGCTTTGGTAATATTATTCTGGATATTGACTTTAAAAATCGGCTCAAATCTAGCCGTTTAACAACAGTAGGATGGGGTATTCGCTCAATTGCTATAAGGTCCGTCTTTCAACGTCTTATATTTGCGCGGATTAAAAGTTTACTCAGTTCTACGCTCCAACCTTGATAACTTGAGCTACTTGAATTGTAATTAAAAATGAAACAAATATAAGTATCTTTAAGCTTGACTTCAACAATGCATTCAATGCTATCCATTGCTATCATTTCATTTCTATCTTTATTCAGAAAAATACTCATTCGAAATATATAATAGATAGTTAATCCTCCAACCTCCCTAAGTCTAGATATAATAATACACTCTTAGCAAAGGATTCAGCAAGGAGACCTACTGGGGCCCACTCTTTTTTGCCTGGACTCAAACAATAGTCAATCAAATAGTTGATTTTTACAATCTAACATTAGATATTTGTTATTTAGACGACGGAATTGTTTCTTAAAACCGGCAAGTTACTCAAACTACGGATCATGGACAAACTTGCTATCCTTACAGAGATTTCATTTAACAGGGACAAATGGGAGTTCTATTCATCAGACATTTATTAATCCCGACATGCCATTCGAACTATCAAACACAGCTATCACGCATCTCGGCCCACCTGGAGGCTTCATCGCCATTAATAATTTTTTAAATAACATTAGCACCAAATAGTCACCGGAAACAACTTCTCTCATCTTATCTGCTCGCCAGACTTTCTTATCATTCCAAAGCTTACCCATGCTTTCCATTCGGCTCCAATATTTGCCAATATCTACATACGCAGGGATTTTGAATACCAACTCAAGATTTTGCTGGAAGAAATCTTTAACCTGACATTTCTTCCTCTTGTCAGCTTACCCAGTGATTTTAGGTATCGTTGTTCATTTCCTCTATCATTCTCATTCTGGCTTTATTTCATCAAGACTGACATGTTCTAACTTGAACCCAGTTTCCGTGCTATATAATGGTCTTCAATTGGACAAGGCTTTGATAGCTCAAGACCTAGATTCACTTTCAAATCTTCCTCGCAAAAAGACTAGAACTTGGCATTATAACCCATTCATTGATTATATACTATTGAACGATCTACTTTGACTATGAACAGCCTGTTCATAACAATAAAACGGATATGAATGGGTGCCATACCAAATTAAAACTCAGTCCTGGGTTTATCCCCAAGAACTATGGATACATATAGGGCTCTGAACTAAATGTCCAATAGTTACTCTTTTTTAATGCACTCGTTTTATACCTTTATATATTTTCTTAATGTTGTGATTATTGAATTAACAAAATAATATTTTAAAATATTAATAATATGGATTAAGAAGTTATCATTAAAAATATCAAGGTTTAATATGTCCATGCAATGTAGTTTAAGAGAATATTCATTTATTGATTAATTTGTTTTGACCATTATTTATATTCTCTATAATGATTTGTGTAGCAATAATAGTATGTTAAAGGTATTTAATCACTAACCATTTAAAATTTTTATTATAAATCCTCACGGGTTAGTCCTTAAATTTTTTGCTGGCTAATATTTGCCCGACGTTTTTTTAACTGATCAAATGAACATTTTTGTTGATCAAATAAATTTCTATTCAATACTGCTATTCTCTTATTTATGCTGATTATATATTAATTTTATACTAATAAATTTGGAAAAAATATATATTGATAACATTTCATAAATAATACTTGTAATTATTCGCCAAAATAAATTAGCATTTATTTTTAATTTTACCTGCATTTGTAGGAATCTTCAAAGATGGTCCCCAAGCCTCCTATATTATTAAACAATACCGATCCATTTTGTTTAGCACCTGGGACTCATTTTCATCGTTTAATGAAACGGTATGGAACCCCTATTATTGTCTTGAATTTAGCCAAAGTATTATTCATTCAATTTTTAAAATTCTGAAAAAACTCCTTTTTTTAGAACAGAGAAACTAAAAGGGGAGAAGGAATTTTAACCGAAGAATTCATTAATTCGATATGTTATCTTAATCAGTTTCTACCGCTTCGCCATAAAATTTTATACCAAGGTTTTGATATGGCCAGAATGAACAGGAAGTAAATTTTGATATTAAATATACATCAAATATTATATGAGCGAAGACTATATTTAGATATTATTTAATGAAATATTCGATTCTCAATATTTGATATTCCTCATTTCTCACCGTAAAGCAAATCAATTGACGTTATCAAAAAATTGGAAGAAATTTGTTACGACTACATTATCAAAACCGATATTTTTTTAGCCACCATTTCCTGCTCCCTCTCTACTATCAAATGCATGTCTCGTCAACAAAAGGGGGTCATAAGAAGCAATTGTGTCGATTGCTTGGATCGGACCAATACCGCTCAGTTTGTGATAGGCAAATGCGCCTTGACTCTTCAATTGGAAGCCCTTGGTGTTTTGGATGAACAAGATCTAGAAACTTACTCTGATATTAATTGCGGCGAGATGGATAACCTAACTAGGAATGGTGGGCGATGCCGTAAATTGACCTTTGATAGCGACATTATAAGGTTTGTATTGAATAGGAAAATTATTATTGTTTATCGATAGATGTATATCAGAGTTGTTAAAAGATACTTTTTAAATGGATCTAGATACAGATACATCGTCTGAAAAGTTATATAGATATAGATACAATTTTTATTATACTCTTATATAAGGTTCGCATAAACCTAATATAGGATTTTATTGTGAAAATTCATGAAATGAGCTAAAAAAATTTATTGACTCGATATCACATTTATCAAAATATAATTAAAATGATTTTTAGCAGGGATGCGAACCCGGCTAAATTTTTGCCCAGGTTCGGTTCGGTTTAAGGTAAAATAAAAATAGGTGGGTTCGGGTTCGGTTCAAGGAAATATTTTTGAACCCGAGTTTAAGAATTTTTGAATTGATAAAAAAAATTCTATATTTAAATCATAATTAAAAAACTAGACATAAATTTGGCATAAAAAATAAATTTTTTATTTTATTTATATAGGCAAAATATAGTTAAAAATACAAAGCACAGTCATGTATCAATTTTAAAAATTTAATGACATATTTCCTTAAATTAACAATATCCAATATAATAATTTTTACTTAGACTTGTTCACTTTTATTTTCCCCTAATTAATAATCATTGAGAATAAGTTAAAAATTAAAAATAAATGGCGTAAATGAATTTAATTGTTTAAAATTTATCAACACTCCAATAGGAATTTTTGAGAATAAATTAAATAAGTTTTAAAAATGGCATAAATGAATTAAGTTGTTTAAAATTTATTAACACTTCACTTAATTGGAAATTAGATATTATAAAATCTCAATTAAATTACTAATATTTGTATTTACACAAATATCTTAATATATGATTTTAAACAATAAACTGAACTGAACCTGGATTCAAATAAAATTCACGGATTCGGTTCGGGGTTTTGAAAATTTTATAAAGGGGGTTCAGGTTCGGTTCGGGTTTATTTTTTCCCAAAAACCCGGGTTTTCTTCTCCGGGTTCGGATTCGGTTCGAATCCCTGATTTTTAGAATATAATAAATATATGATTAAATGATAAATAATTATAAAGTTTCAGTAATCAAATATTTTCAAAATTTTGGTCATTAAGGCATCCTCGTTTATCTGTAAAGACATTTTTAGCTACACTAAAAAATCTTTATACCGGGGCGCTTGAAGGGATTATGGTCTTATATTTTATGAATAAAAATTTTCTATCAGAATATTTTTAAATATACTAAAATCTCGACATTCTTTTTGAAAAAATTATTTAAAATTTGATGAGTATAGAAATTTAAATCATTATTAACAATCATATCTCCTGATGTGGAGTACTGAAAATAAATCGGATATTAAATTAATTGTTTTTTTCACAGGTTATTTGTTTGCAATCAGTTGAAGACCTTGATAATTCATCAACTAATCTTTGTATTAATTGTTTTTTTATTAACAGTGTTTGATGTCTTCTCTATAAATTTAAAATTACTATTGTAAACATTTATTTAGTATCTATACCCTTAAATGTTTTACAATGTTGCAAGTTGAGGTAATGCTAATTGAAATTTTCGTATTTTTTGGTAGACATGGCAAACATTTTACTATCAGAGATTTGTTTTCTTTATTTTGAGATATTATTTTAAAATATACTCTATAAATTGGATATGGAAAAACAATGTCTGAACTTTTTGATGCTTCATTGATTGATACTTCTTCCTCTTAATCACTATTAATATTGAATAAAAAATATTTTAAAATTAGTATAATAAAATAAAATTAACCAATTCCATTGAAAATAAAAATGGCAGATTCCTTGAGATGCATTGTAATATCAAAATTTGTCTGGTTTATTGATAAACTCGGGCATAATATTTAATGAATAGGGGAAATGTGCCATGAATGGTCATGTTTTAGCTTTTTTGAAAAAAAGTATTAAAAATTATGTTTAACCAAACAAATTTTAGATCTAGCCTAAATATTAATCTTTAAAATAAAATATGAATCAAAGCTCTATGTATAATACTTTAGGAGCTAAATTAGATTGTGTAAAAGTTGCTTTTCTGGCCAGTCAATACATAGGCCATATACTATGTGTTAACTGGCCATATTTAAGAATTTTATTATAAATATGAAATAATACAATATGAAATGTAAAAGACCTATATTAATATTTTTACATTTCATACTTATATAATTAATTATACACTAATTTAATTAGTATTAAAATCTCAATTTATTACCACATCTATTTAATGATAATATTATAAATTAATATCTTAACTACACATTCTTAAGCTTGTTCATCATTTTATTCCACCAAATGTTGTTTTGCAAGAGCTTTTTATTTTAATATGAATATGTGAATGTGCGAATTGTGGCCAATCAATACATGGCCAGTCCATACTCACCTCTATTATTATTAAGCGCCTTTATATGGCTATTAAATAAAGCTTTCAAAGTCTAATTTTTTGTGTGAATAATGCTAAATGCCTAAGGATAATATTTATATAAAATATCAGTAATCTAAATTAGTAATTTTTTCACCAAACAAAAAAATGTGTAACGTGATTTTTCCAGAAAGAGGTACTAAGAACAGTTTATTTGAAATATTTTTTTATTGAATTGCTCTATTCAATAAATTAACTTAGGTAAGGTACATATCATAAATATACAAAATTTAAACAATTATGGGAGAAATTGGTCCAATAGATAAAAAGTTAAAGGGTGGTAGCCAGTCTTCACACATGGCCATTTATGGCACATTTCCCCATTTATATATATATATTTTTATATATAAGTTTTAATATTTCATACATATATAATTTTTTTATAGTGGTCTTTATATTTTTTAATATATATTATATATTTAAATTATATGCTCATATGAAATAAAATGAATTTTGCATTCAAGTATTTTTATTTATAATATAAAAAAGCGTTAAAGGTATATCAAAATGTATCTTAAAAAATATCTAAAAACAGATACAGATACCTCTAAAATAATATCTAGATACAGATACTTTAAACAGAAATCTATCTAGATACACATTTTTATATACAACTTTGATGGTTAATAAGAGTATTCTATTTTTTTTTAGAAACTTGAAGCGAAACAACCAATTGGAATATTCTTATATAAAAATGCAGTGTAATTTTCAAATATTTATTGCAATATTTCTTGTACGTTTTGAAAGCATATCTAAATTCCTTATTTGTCAAAAGAATGTAATATGAATATTATCAAGAATATCTTTTAGCGCTTATAATATCGAGCTCGACCTATTTCTCTCGAATCGGATTAGTGCCCACTAATTTTTTTCTCATATCGGGTCAGACCTAAAAAAATAGTACAAATACAGGGATCTAATTATCTGTATTTTAGGAAAGAAAAAATGAATACTATTGTGCAATTCTCTGATTCAAATTGGATCGATAATAATTAATAACGAACATTGAATAATGGGAGATGGTTATATAATTAATAAAACTATTTTTATCAATATCTAAAAAATATATAAATTCTTCTGGATCCAATCAGATGTGTTTCCCACTATATTTGATCCAACAGGGCCATCGTGTAAATATAATCTTTGTATGGTTTTCTTTTAAATTGTAGAATACCTTGATAGCATTAATGGCTAAACATATCGTGACTAATGTTCCTCTCTTCTGAAGTTATGGGATAACTATTTGGCTATTTCCTGTGCTATATCCTGCTAATGAGTTTCGATGATGGTAAATTCACTTTAATCTGCATTACAATTATAGGTTCAAAATCAAAGTGATAGCAATTGCAATTCATTAGCTTGAATGCCGTATAGTCTAGCTTTAGGAGTACCAATTGAAAGTTTAGAGTGTTTTTTCCTACATTTTTAATAATTCTCAGTATATTTGTAGGGTTGGTGAGCATTATAAAATTATCAAGTTAAAAAAACAAATAAAGATCAAATATATTTGTCTGACATGGCTCCTATATGCAATATAATTATTTCTTTTAACATTTTTTAATTCGATTGGAAACACCTTTTATTCAACATTTTTTGTTTTAACCTTTTAAAAATTTTCAAAATCCTTTTTTTTATATAATAGGAAAAAAAGTGTAATGATTTAATATTTGTATTACATTATCAATATTAGAATGCTTGAAGATTTATACGAGGAACAAGGGGACGTTTTGGCAATGCAATATGGAGGTTCTCAATTAGTACACAGAGTCGATACCTACAGGAAAATTTCTCCGTCTTGGACCTATCATTCAAGAGACATGATGCAAACATTTTCAAGATATTATAGCAACGCCTTTTCTGGTATGATATAATATTAATATTGAGTTCTTATCTGAATATCGGATCTAAATAATAATCACCATCTTTACCTTTAATACATATATTAAAACCAATCTGATTTATATATTTATATTCTTATAATACAAGATATATAAAAAAAGGCATAACAATTTTTTAAAAGCAGAATATAATTTTTCTTTGTTTCCACTTATTTATTATATGATCTAAGTCTATTGGGGTTAATATTTATTCGATATGGGCGAAGGTTTGACATAAAGAATATTACAAAATTTCCGTTTGACTCATGGATAAATACTTATATCTATTAAAGATTTTATTATTATATATTTGCAGCGTATCTTAGATAAGCTGACATTTTTATTTGTTATATACAATAAAAATAAAATCTTATCAGCCAAGTCCTTTAATAATATTTTACCTTTTTTTTCTTCATTAATTGTATTTATCATGATAAATATCAATCAGGGTTTGAAAAAATATCTTCGCCCAAAATTTTGAGATTTTTTATATTATAATATCACATGGGATTTCTTATGAGATTTTTGTTAAAAAGATCTTTTGGTATTAAATTTCTTAAGATTTTTTGTAGTATTGCTAATCGATTGAGTCGAGTCGACTTAGTCGAAAACTGAGCCTAAGTAACTCGACTCAAGTTGTGAACTCAAGTCATGATTTCAAATTAGTTTTTATTATTAATTAGCAATACAATTATTTTTTTTTACTTTAGACTTACAACTTAAGTCGTGAATATAAGTTACTAGCATTAATTATTATATATTTATTTTTAGTTAAAATAATTTAAAGATTTTATTATATTTTTCTAAAAAAGAATTAACTAACTAAAAAATTATTATAAAAAATTAGTTATATATTTACAAAAACTATTTCAATAAAATTAAGGTTACAGACTAAAATAATCGTAAGTTTCTATCAATATATTAAATTAGATTATATTCAAATAATATCAATTAAAGTTATATAAAATATCTATACAAATTTAATCAATTTCCATTATTTAACATTCTCCCTCTTCTGAGATGTTAGAGCTTGTTGTTCAAATGGTCTGTAATTTTGGCTGTTTTCGTAATAGCACCCATTATGCGTTATCGTTGGCTTGATTCTATCACGTTGGTTTGTTAACATCGTTTTTTTTAGTTGTGCTTTGGTTTGTTTATATCGACTTGAGTACGTTGGCTTGTCGTCGTGCTCCGTCTTTATCATTATCAATTTTCAATATTGTTAATATCATCAGTTGTAAAATTATTATTATAAGTAGGATGTTGGAATATATGAATAATTGGAATGATGTGAATAATTAGATATCGGAATAATAAATCAACAAGATTGTTGTATCATATTTTAATGTTTAATTTATTTTTTTGCGTTTTAGTGTTAATTTTGTTTTTGTTTTTTTTTATATTTTATTTTTATATTTGACTTTCATATGTTAAGTAACATAATCTTTTAAATAATTAGGTTTTCACCTAATTATTGGTTATTGGTGTTACATTCCATTTTTAATACGTCCACATTTCCCTCCTTTAAAGAATTCTTAGGTTGAGAGTCGTGGTATATAAATGTATTATAGCATTTTCTTTTTCTTAACTGGTCCAGATGTCTCCTTGTAATGCCTTTATCTGTATTAACTTGGAACATAGTGTCACTTTCCTTCAATGTGATTGTCCCTTTGTCCCATGTATCATTTCCCTGTACTTTATACTACACAAATCCCCTACTTTAAAAGTTCTAGTAAATTGTAACGTTTTATCAACTCTAAATTTCTTTTCTTCTATCGGTTTAAATAAGTCCCATTTTATTTTATCTATATTTAAATATTTATTGTAATGTGACAATTGTCATGTTATTTTTTAACATATTTGAAATCTTTGACAAAAAAGGGTAAAAATTATATTATAAAGATGCTAAATTATAAATTCAATGATGATTTTTTTTGAAAAAATGACAATTATCATAATCTGTATTTTTAAACATATTAGTTTTTTTTGACACTAATGGCAATATGTATTTTTAACCTGTTAAATTAATTAAGATATGCCATATAATAGTGACAATTGTCATAATCGTTATTTTTAAAGTTTTTAAATATTTTTAAAGTAAATATGTAAAAATATATACTGTAAACTTGTGAAATTAAAATTTCAGTTAAGATGTACCTCAAATAAGTAACAATAGCCATAATCGTTATTTATAATTTTCTAAAGCAAGTAGGTAAAAATATAGGTTGTAAATACATTAAATTAAAATTTCAGTGAAGATGTACCTTAGATGAGTGATAATTATCATAATCGTTATTTCTAGTTTTTTGAATTTTTTTGACGCAAATGGGTAAAAATATATATTGTAAATATGTTAAATTAAAACTTCAGTGAAGATATACCCTAAATAAGTGACAATTTAATTATTTATAAAGTTTTTTTTAATTTTAAACCAAAATTAGCAAAGAGGAGGTTAATTTAAAATTTTACCCCAATATGATTCCAATGGCTACAAATTGATTTTAATAGTAGGGTATAAGTGTTGCGGACAAATATTGTTTTATAAAAATCATAAATTACTTTTACACTTGCATGACGATGTTCATCTTATTTTTATTTGACGTAAAATATAAACTTGCCTGCTCTGAATTATATACAAAAATAAATTATAAAACAAAGATTTTACAAGATTACTAATAAAAATAAGAAATAAAAAATGTTTAAATTTAAATTATAATAAAATATCATCACATTTTGCGATTATATTTATTTATTATTTAAATTCATATATTTTTTAAAATTATTATTTTGGAAAATAAATAACCAATCCCTCCTCCGTCTCTCTCCCATTGTTATTTAAAATTCATTACATTAAAAAAATATAAGCTTATTTTTTTAAACCAAAGTACAGTTGAAGATTTTAGGCTTTCCTTTATTATAATCCGTTGCCTTTTGATTGAGGTTTATAAATTTTTACCATTTTAATATTCTTTTTACTGTTTATATATATTTTTTAAACTTTTTATTATAAAATTGTAGCTTATTATACAATTAGACATTACTCATTATTAAAGAATTTTAAAGAAATTATAATCAAATATTTTATATATTTTATCTTGATGTTTGATTGATCCTTTTATTGTACTTGGGATAATGGGTTGTGTCTTTTCTTGCCTTTTCTCAAATATCTTTATTTGAGCATTATGAATTTTTTTTTTAATTTTATACAATTTGTGAAACCTTAGATAAAAGCTGTTGAAAAGCCTATAATCTTATATTAAATAGATATTTACTACATATCTTCAAAATAATATATAGATTACACAATATTTATTTATTTTGTAAATATATAATAACTTTATCACAATACAATAAATAAGATACAATATATATATAAATAATATATTTTATATTGTAACACTAACATCCCAATTATTTAGACAAATACAATATTTAAGAGTTGTCGTCGACTTCCTATTTCGCTTCTTTCATCAAAGAATCTACGGCTTTGCTGAAGGCTCTATCACTTGGAACGCTTGTCGTTTGTTGTGCAAGGAACTCCTAAGCTATCAGCGATAAGGTTGGGTAAAAATCACTGTTTTTGGCCCACCAATCAAGTATATTGGTTGAAGCTGGTACAACCGGTTTTTTGATGTATTCTATAATTTCATCTTTTCGAAATTCATAAGCTTCCCTAAAATTTATTTATATTTACTTTCTCAATTCGTTATGCATGCAGACCGAATAGGGCTGTGTTTCTATATCATTTAGTGAGAACTCATATACTTTAGCTTTTTGCGATGGCCACCCATAGTCTTTATATAGTGATTTAAATTTTTAATATAATCCTCCTTTGCTATAAAATTAGGCATATATTTTATTTTAGTTTTAGAATCTAACGTTGTAGATATATAATTGTTAGGTGTGCTCATGAAGTTTTTATATCTTCCACATTTTATCAACATTTCACTTGCCGCATTTTTAATATCACTATCAGGATGATTGTTGGAAGCCTTATCATAAATTTTCTCCATCTTTGCCATAAATAAACCGTGGTTCCAATCGTAGTTGTATCTGACGATATTTCCAGCATTATTTTATAAAATGGCTTTAAAAAATTATCAACTTCATTTAAAAATTTGGGCTCACTATCGTTTATATCGAAAGGCTCTGTCATACATTTTTTTTCCTAGCTGTTTAATTGCATCCAAATTCTATACAAATTAAATATATTATTATGCTATGTTATTTCTCAAAGAAGTTCAAAATTGTAAAACTATATTTTTTGAATATTATTGAATTAAATAAATTATGGTTTAAAAAATAGGGAAGACTGTGTAAAAAAATGATTCGGTTAGACCTAGTTCCCTTTATATAAAGTCAAAATTTTGTAAAAATAATTACCATTGACCATATATCTTTTAAAAGAATATGAAAGAGTATAAAAAAATTATCTTATAAATTACTTTGTTCACTGTTGATATCATTATATATTTTGAGTTCCATCTGGTTACCACATCCAACAGAATCCTCGAAATAGTTGCATGTATTTTTGTAAAAGTTTGGGTGAAGAATTTAGCATCTTTACAACGTTAGTTATTTAATGATTTTTTTTATCTAGGTCTGAAAATCCCTCTTTAACTATCAAATTTATAACATGTGCTAAACATCGATAGCTCTATACGCCTGATGTATATTTTTCGTGAAACTTTATGAGAACATTTAGCAATTTATCTATATAATAGATCTAAAACGAAAATGAAATATATCCCAATTTTATAGCAAAGGAGGATTATATTGAAAAAATTGAATCACTATCTAAAGAATAAGAGTGGCCATCGCAAAAAGCAAATGTATATAAGTTCTCTCTAGATGATATGGAAACACAGCCCTATTCGGTCTGCATGCATGACGAATTGAGAAAGTATTATATAATTTTTGGTTATATTAATTTATAAATTTTAAGGAAGCTTATGAATTTCCAGATCTCGCGAGAGATGAAAT